TGCTTTTATTATCAACAACATATGACACCGAGCCATTGATGTAATAAGTTGGTTCAGTGTAATATGAAACAACAGACCAATTATATTATCAAACAATAAAAGGGAAAAAACCATTTGTGTACTAAATTATTAGCTTCAAACTATTGTTGAATGAAATTGATCTTGGTGAAGTCTACTTTTAAGTTTATCAGTTTTACTTGATGATGACTGATTTCTAAATTTATAATAATAAGTTGGTGAGTGTAGTTTCACTATTAAACAATCATTGAATAGGTGTTCATGTCAGTAAATTTAAGTTATTGGAAAATCTTTAATATAACGCCTAATGAAGTCACATTTGCAAACTATTAACGAATTCTTGTACTCTTCAGTCTTCGATTCCTGCTTAACTTCATATTAATCAAACATACCTCATCTATCAAACATTTTATTCTTTAAATTACAAACTACTTAAATTTTATTACAGTAGTTAGCTTCTTACAATATAATTTTACGCCGGTATTCTGTTTCGTTACTGTGACTATTATTATTATTATTATTATTATTATTATTATTATTATTATTATTATTATTATTATTATTATTAGCCTTACACATAAAAAGATGTTTAGTCAAACATGTCACATTCAACAGCAATAAAAATGAGGGTGTAGTGGGGAGGGGTAACAAAATAGATTATTGTTTTTTTCCATTTCCTTTTTCTAATCTAAAATTCCCTTACTAAATTATACCTTATTAATCTAATCCTGTTGCATTACAATAAGCCAATTGTTTTAAACGATCAAACACTTATCTACAACAATTGAAACATTTAATTTGATATATCTGATTTATGAAAATGTAACATAATTATCAAACAGAGAAGTAAACAACCATGAAACAAGATTGACTTTCTATGATAAAAGATGAATAATTTGAAGTTGTAAAATAACTGATAAATCAAACACATCTATAACAGAAGATGATGATGATAACCTTGATATGTTGAGGTAAATTCATCGACCTTTAAATGCTCTGATATGGCCGAGGGTGGAGAGAGTCATCTCTCCTTCTCGAAACGCTCTCATATGACTATTGACATAAAGCCACTGCCATGGAAGTCCTACTCAATGCCTTCTCGTGGCGTGGGTGTTGTTTATGAAATTGGATGATGTAAAGCGAGTGTTCGGCGCTTAGATCGGGTTAATGGACATGGAGGATCCACCTAGAGGAGTTGGAAAACTCTGATTCCAAATTATTGATGCACATGGGCTCCATGATCCTGAGGAAACAAATTGCATATGAACCTACTGTTGGTCACTGGCTACCGTGGAACCGCATCTTCTTACGCTGCTCCGTTGCCTAGTGTATTACACTTCGTTTGTCTGTGCAACTGCTTTCTTTCTCAAACGTTTATGGAGATCGGTTCATCATGATATACTATCAACTGAGTAAATTTTCAAACTAGCATGTACCATATAAGTATTTTGTTCTACGCCGAGATGTATAAAGATTGTCTTAGTTCACCATCTCATTATCGACTGTCTCACGATAATAACGTGACCATCTTAAAGAGTTCTTAATGATAATTCTAACGTAACTGAATTCCATAAATCACCCTATCTCATCATCCCATTTACGGTGTGTGCTACCGATGTCGACAGATATAAGCAGTATATATCATCAATCGAAGGTGGAATGCCTGACGGCAGAAGGTTAAGAAGATGAAAGCGAAGAGAAAGAGAACATAGAATGATTGATGTGGGAACGAAGGAACAGTCAAGTGTAAGACAATTGAATGATATTTTGCAAATGAAGTATTTACTGTATGTTTTAGTCAGACTTTACCAAGAGATTCTGCAATTTTGATTTTCCCCACCTGTGTTCCCATTCACTACACTACCACTTAACTCACTTTGGTTAGTATAGTACCATAACTTCACCAATTTATAATACTTGAAATTAAAATTCATAAATATGTACCTGTTTGATAAGTTACATTAATGTTTTGTACAGTAGTTTATAAATTAAAGAACTCAAATTCACTTGCTACTGTTACTTGAACCCTCTCATTGATTTTTTAGGTTTGCAGTTGGTCAGTCTCTTATTGGCATATACGTATACTGTGTGTATTGCTAATTGGATAACAGGATTGCGTTAGGAGTGAACGGTATTGGGTTTGAGTCCCAGAGTGAACATCAACTCTGAGATGCAGGTATACCCAGCTGACGAGTCCTAAATAGGACGAAACGTGCGTCAAACTGGATTCCACTGCTAACCACTATCCATCTTTGCTTATTAATGCACTCAGTTTTCTGATCATAAAGTTTCACATTTAAAATTCTCTTTACTTAATTTGGTAAGTAGTATACTACTTTGTCACACAATAACATGATATAATTTTAAGGCTGATTACTAAGTGTTTTCTTTTATAAATGAAGTGGATTAAGTGTCATAGTAACACTTATGTATATTAAACGACCTCTTTCTGTTATTGAAGCTATTTAGTCAAGATGAATTTAGATATTTGACTCTATGAACTTTCAACCAGCGTTAGGAATATATGCTATTTGGTGTCGACTTGTCGGTAAAAAGCTATTTAGTCCAAAGTTTTCTTAGGTTCGATCTTGAATGGGTTCGTAAATGTACACTATTGAGGTCCCTTGTACTAAAACTAAATAGATATCTAGTGTTTTTATCGGGAATGTTAGATCCACAGAGTTCACTTGGTAAATGTCTTATTTTTGTAATTTTATTTTGAAAATTTGAATTTGTTGTTTAGGCGCCAAAAGCACCTACTTTCATCTTCATGTCGTATTTTCCAACTAAAGGAGGCCCTAAATGTCATTGGTTCGTTGTCTGTCTTAACATGTTATTTTGTAACGTTTACCAAGAGCATTTTTGTTCTGTATCTATGCTCTTGAATAGTGCTTGTGATTTTTGTGGCTGCTTGTGGAAAACATTTCCCTCTTCTGAACCTGAACTTCTATCTCGAGTTAGTGGGACTGGGATACATCGGACTAGTTAGCTTATTAGATCATTGTTTCACTGTATGTTTGTTTCATTCGCAGATTACGTGAACTCGTAATCTCTTCAAATATGGCAATTTTGTGATGTTTAATTGTTCTTTATTCCAGATCATTCCACAATATAAATCAATAATACACACAAATCCTCTGTACTACTACGATCATAAGTTAAGACATCAACCTCTATGGTGAAATAAAGTTTAAACTAGTCAAATCAGAATGTCACTGAATTGGCATCAAACAGTCTACATCTTTGACTTTAGTCAGTAAATGTGAAGATTATAAAACAAAATGAGTGACATTGGTTTCATTTGAATTGTGGTGCGAATGACATGAGATATCAAGTTCATCAGTTTGAAAGTGATAGTGAAAGTGTTAGCACCCGACTAGGAAACAGTAAACCTAAGGGTACATTTTTCCCGAACGATTTGACTTTTGGATTACCCAAACCGCGCATTTAAAAAGAAAGTGAGATGATGAATTGTAATCAGAATATGTAAACTTAATAGAGGATAATCAACTGTATTCACATCATTACTAAACATAAATCTAATGAGCATAGAAAATTCAAAACATTAAATTTTGACATAAGTTAAGGAAACATTGGAAATTGGAGAGTACTGGAAACCTGTCTTATTCTAGTGTGCGATTGAGAAGTCTTCAGATGATGGTAAAATCCAATTTTAACATTAAAGTAAACTTCCTATTATTTCAAATCAGACAGTTTTCTTCAGTTTGCTTGTAACTATGAGAAACTGTGACTAATGTGATTTATTATCAGAAGGGTGTTTTTGTGGATATTATAGTAATTCAATAGTTGAGTTCATGAGTCCATTAAAGCTAGACCATCATGGAAAACTCGGAAGCCGTTTTGTCCTAGTGTGGAACTCCTTAGAAATGCACATCCAGGATCCTACCCCGCATGATTCGAACTCAGGACCTATCAATGATTTAATCAAATAACTAGTGAGAAGGCAATTGTGAAGTAAGATAACTGTCTCTTTGTATCATAAAATGATTGGATGTAATAATATAGATTATAAATTCACAACTCAATATCTCAAAGACAACATACCAGAATCAAGACCTGAAGATCCTTAGTGTTGGGACGGCTTCCGAGAACTACAACAGAGCCTCTCGTGGCTCTAAAGGAGTTGAAGAGTTTCCATCCAATCAGAATGTTTTGGAGCTTTTTAGAATATCAACGTCACATCCTACTGTTGGACAGTAGCATAACATATCTCTTTACGAATTGGCTGATTTAGAATGTTGATGTAACCAACGTTAATATCTCTAAATACCCATGATTTTCTGTACATTTTGATTGTTACTCAACAAGCACTACTCAAGTCTTCTTCTGTCTTATGATTTGAGACTGTTGGACGTTCTATACATTCTAGTACCGTAGTTGTATACCATATTCTACGTTAACTAAGCAGTAAACTTAACACATGGTTCTGTCCTCGGATCTAAGACTATCATACTACACAACCATTACATTGTCTTTAGATCATTAATTCGATTATCTTGCCCCCAAATGCCCTGGTATGGCCGAGAGTAGGATGGGCCTACTCTCCCTCTCGAAATGCTCTCACACGGCCACGCGTGTACAGCCACTGTCAAGGAAGTCTTACTCACTGCCTTCTCGTGGCGGGGGTGTTGTTTACGAAAATGAGTGGACGAAAAGCGAATGTCCGGCGCCTTAACCGTATTCTAAACCAATGGTGCGTATGGGCTCCATTATCCTGAAGGAACAAATTGAGTATGAACCAATCGTTGGTCACCGGCTACCATGGGACTGTATCTCCTCACGATGCTACACTGTCTTGTGGGTCAGACCTTTAGGTCCAAAGCTCGGGGTGTAGCCCTCTAAGGAAACCAGTTGCTTCGGTCTGGGCACCCGGATAGTATCCCAGGCCTCACACATATCTATTTGGTGCCTCCTTATACCAATGTTTATGTGTTTAAATAAATAAACAGAAATTATCTTACACTTTTTATGTGTACTTCCATTCATCATCATTGTCGTACTGTCAACTTTTTCACTTCTCATTTCTTGACATACATTATATGTGATACAATTTTCACCTGTTAATATATTTCGAAGAGACTTAGATGATAATGTATGGTGTGTTGAATCATGTTCATTTATATTTAAATTTGGTTGGGATAAATGTTTTTCTTCAATAGATATAGTATATGAACGACCACGTGAACCATCTCCAGTTAATGGTGAACTAAGATCTATAAAGAAGTAAAACATAATGAGAATAGAAAGAAGGAAAACTGAAGATAAACAATGATTATGTAACATTAAAAATGTACACAATTCAAGTGATTATACTAAGCCTTAGAATTGATGATATAAAAATAGGTAATAAAAAAATGAATTCATGGTCATCTAGTACCGGGAAAATAAACTGAACAGTCAAGTCGGTGATGGGAATAATTTTCAGTTCATATTTACTTACTTACTTACTCCTGTAACTCTTAATGAAGCATAGGCCACTGAACAGCATTCACCAACTCACTCTGTCCTGGGCACTCCTATCCAATTCTATCCAATTGTTCTTCATTCTTCTAATGCCTGTCTCTTCATTTCTCAGCGTAATGTGTTCTTTGGTCTTCCACTTCTCCTGTATTCAACCTTGACGATTCCAAGTGAGGACTTGCACTGTGACACAGTTGGGTGCTCTCCTCAATGTGTATCCTATCCACTGACAACTCTTCTTCTCGATTTCTTCCTTCGCTGCAATCTGGCTTGTTCTCTCCCATAGTAAGCTATTGCTGATTATGTCTGACCAACGGATCCGAAGTATTTTGCGTAGACAACTGTCCATAAACAATTGTATCTTCTGGATGATGGCTTCCGTAGTTCTGCAAGTTTCCCCCCAATACAGTAGAACTGTCAAGACATTTGCATCTAAAATTCTGACTTTGGTATTGTTTGACAGATGTTTTGAGCTTCAGATGTTATTCAAATATAGATATGCTGCTCTTGCTTTGCCGATCCACACCTTCATATCTGCATCCGATCCACCCTATTCATCAATGATGCTGCCTAGACATGTAAATGTTTTTATCTTCCAATTCTTCTCCATCAATTGTGATTTGATTGATGCAAGTTGTGTTGTATCGGAGAATTATTTCATAGTAAGTTACTACTTATAATCTGACTGATCATTTATCGTTATTAACATGAATAATGAAAAAAAACATAAATCCTTACAAATAAATTCATCTCCGTTACAAAGTTGTTGACTGTCGCTCATTTGATAACACTCTTAGTGTTTGAAGCTGTAAGTACTGGGTTTCAAACAATATTAGGATGTTGATACTAAAATGTAGTTAAATCTGACTGAAAAGTCGCATATTAGACGAAACTTACGTCTTGTATTCCAACTTTCTTAATAGATATGTCAAACCCTCGTTCATAACTTCAAGCAGTTGATTTATATGATTGGGTTAGGATTAAAAGATTGACAGTAAGATATTGTTTTTAACCAACAATAGAATGGTAAAATGAATTCAGTCTTAAAAAAGAAGGTCAATAGGTACCCGTATGGCTCGCATTTCATCCTGTTTGGGACTCGTCACCTCGATGTATCAGCATCCCAGAGTTAACGTTCACTCCGGGACCCGAACCCAATACCATTCGCTTCCAATACCATCGTGTTATCCAATTAGCTACTGAGTCCTCATAGCCATCTGCATACCATCCGAACATACAGAGAGATATTAATAAAATGCATCAAAATAACATTTATTAAGAATATTCTATATCTCACCTCTTTTTTTGACAGTCCTTTTAGATTCCCCTAAACGATAAGTGTAACTTTCAACATTCTCTCCACTTAATGGATTTTGTCGATCTGTATTTATCAAAATCAAAATTAAACATTTGTGAGTAAACTTTTGATATTTTTACAGTTAAATTTCATGCTACTTAGAATAAAAAAGTAGTAATGAATATGAGATATTCATTTATTAGTTGAATTCACGAGTCAGTTAAATCTAGGCCATCATGGAAAACATAGAAGCACTAGACGGCCGTTTCGTCCTAGTATGGGGCTCCTCAGCAGTGCGCATCCACGACCCCGCCCTGCGGGACTCAAACACAGATGTTCGTTTATCCATGAATCTGTGAGACCTATAATTTATGAATGACCTTAGGGCAACGCTAAAGTGACATTAAGAGTGTTCACCTATTTATTAGGATTAAATGAGAGGTATAAATTTGTTCTGAAAAATAAGGATTATGATTTACAATTGATGGTTATGAACTAGATCTAGAGTTTTTATCTCGAACTGACATCAGCTGCTAGCGATATTTCATAAAATATCAGCTAGTATATCAAAATGCTCATTAGCCAAATGGATGAATCAATTTCGATCCGAAGTCCAAAACCTAGTCATTATGTTCAAAGTATCTTGATATAGTGGAGTCTGTAATGATCAGATAACTTAACCACGTAATCGCTACACTAAGGGTAGTAATTAATGTTTATTATTTGTGATCTATACTAGATTTATGGGAACATGCATAAAAGCTATGCTTAGGGATTGTGAAAAAGATCAAAGCAACAATCCTTTTGTCACATATTGTCTAACAAGCCCTGAAACAGATCACGTTGATTCTGCGAACTACAGTTAGAAAGTTTTTGATTGAGATCATGAACCTATTGTTGTTAGACCACCAGTGAAATACTGGAAGCACTGGACGGCCGTTTCGTCCTATTGTGAGACTCTTCAGCAGTGCGGGATTCAAACTCAGGGCCTTCAGTTAAGCACGGGAGACTCCACAACCATATGCTGATATTTTGAAGGTTGACAATTTATAATGAAAATCAAGCCAACTCTCAATGTTACTGCAACTCATGCGATATCTTAATGTGAAATTCTTTAATGTTTTTTAGATCTTTTCTTTTAATGATCATCACAAGCGTCCAAGCTGTCTTGTGAAAAAGCACAGAAAACAAATATATTACTCATCAAGGTCTACAAAAGTTCGTAATTAAACCAAACAACTCTCCATGTTTATCTAATAGAACACTTCAATCCTCAACATGACTATTTTATTGTTTCCCTCATTCACTAACAATACACTAGGTTAGGTTTCATTCAAATGCTTTTTTTATACCATTCAAATACGACGCATTTCTTTGCAAACACTTAAGTAACCGTTCTTACCCTTCTTATTTGAGCAGCTAGCTAAGCTCGTCAGCAAAAAGCTTATTTATGAGTATCGGAATCGAATACTGGACAACAAAACAACTTCAACGTAGAACAAATGATAAGGACCTGAAACTACAAGAAAAGCTTTAATCTGGATACAGCAAGCATATGTATAAGTATGAGTGACCCATGATGTAAAGAAGTTCCTAAAAACATGTTGGAATTAATAATGGAACCGATCATTTTCAAATCAATACTGTTCATTACTAGAACTCTTCAAGGAGTTTTTATTGAACACTGATTAAACTACATACTTTTAGCCTCTTTTCATCTGAGGAATTCCCGATGGAAATTTAACCACATATTAAAATATGATATAAAACATATTGTTTAGGAAGTCGATAATGCCCCCCCCCAAATGCCCTGGTACGACCGAGAGTGGGGCGAGTCACCTCTCCCTTTCCAAACGCTCTCACACGACTGATAAGTCTTGCAAGTTGGACGCTATATTCGGTTCCTAAGCTATTCTTGTAACCCTCCAAGCTAGAACTACACAGCAACCTGAACACGAGAGAAAAGATGCAAAATATGCGAGAAGCAATGTACTCCAAAGGTTCGTTTTAATACAGAAAATATAGGGTTTTTATAGTATTTTAAATGTCCTTGGGTTGCCCGAAGATTCTGGAATGCTACTAAACATAGAAGCAGTATAGAAATCAGTCAATCAGAAACTCTACATGTGACGTTTCACTTCCTTGATGTTCCTGGCTAAAACTTCAAGTGAACGCTGATTGGATGAAATGCTTTTTAGTGTTTGCTGTTCCTTGCTTGTCTTTTGCGAGGAATTTTCTGGATAACCCCAACAATGACCACGTGCATACAACCACTGCCAGGGAAGTTCTACTCAATGCCTTCTCGCTGCGAAGGTGTTGTTCACGAAAATGAGAGGACGAAAAGCGAATGTACGGCACTTTAACCTGGTTGGTGGATAAGGATAGTCCAACTAGGGGAAATGGAAAACCCTCATTTCAAACCAATGGGTTTCAGGATCCTGACGGAAAAAATGGCGTATGAACCAATCGTTGGCTGCCATCTACCATGGGACTGTATCTCCTAAGGTTGCTCCACTGCCTTGTGGATCAGACCTTTAGGTCAAAGGCTTCAAGTATGGCCATTTAAGAAAACCACCTGCTTCAGTTTGGGCATCCGGAGAGTATCCCAGCCCTCATACAAATCGAATGACTTATGTGGCACATATCTATTTGGTGCCTCCTTGTACCAATGTTCATGTGTTCAAATCAATAAATAAATGGTACATAAGTGAGACTTACCTTTAACCACTCTAGGTGTAACATTTCTTTCAATTGGTGTTATTTTGTAACTTTGAAGATTTTCACCAGTCACTGTATTCCTGTATACTAAAATAACCAATAACAATAATAATAAAAGAAATAAATATGGTATGTATTAAGAATTAACCACAGTGTACATCATGAATTGATCTTAGTTAGATCACAACTGAGAACTAAATAGTAATGGATACATATCTCTATTCAGTGTAGAACTCCTCAACAGTTCATATCCATAAGCTCAATGAAGGTCGAATCCAGTAATTAATAACTGAATTAATACCGCCTAAAGAACAAGTAACAACAGACTGGAAAGAAGGACACCTGATCAAGATACCAAAGAAAGACGATCTCAGCAAGTGTAAGAACTACAGAGAAATCACACTTTTCTCAATAAAACGGTGTTTCTAAATGGAATGAAGGACTCCGTAGATGCCTAACTTCAAGACTAGCAGGCTACATTCCGTGTACCGATAAAATCACAACACTACGTATCACTGTGGAACAATCAATTGAATGGAATTCATCACTCTACATCAACTTCATTGACTACGAGAAAGCATTTGACAGAGTGGACAGGACAAGACTATGGAAGCTTCTTCGACACTACGGCGTACCTGAGAACATTGTCAATATCATACGGAATTCCTATGATGGATTAAACTGCAAAGTCGTGCATGGAGGATAGTTGACAGACTCGTTGGGCGTAAAGACCGGTGTCAGGAAAGCCTGCTTACTCTCAGCCTTTCTCGTTCTCCGGGTGATCGATTGGATCATGGAGACGTCAATATCTGGGGGAGGGAAGTACGGGATATAGTGGACAACTAGGATGCAGCTGAATGATCTAGACTTCGCAGATGATCTGGCTGTTCTTTCACACACGGAACTACAAATACAGGAGAAGACGACTAGTGTAGCAACAGCCTCAGTATCAGTAGGTCTCAACACACACAAAGGGAAAAGCAAGATTCTCCGATACAACACAACATGCATCAATCAAATCACACTTGATGGAGAAGATTTGGAAAATGTAACAATCATCACATATCTGAGCAGCATCGTTGATGAACACGGTGGATTGGATGAAGATGTGAAGGTGTGGATTGGAAAAGCAAGAGCAGCATATCTACAATTGAAGAATATCTGAAACTCAAAATATCTGTCTGTCAACCAACACCAAGGTCAGAATTTTCAATATAAATGTGAAGATAGTCCTACTGTATTGGGCAGAAACTCGCAGGAATACGAAAGCCATCATTCAGAAGATACAATTGTTTATCGACAGTTGTCTACGCAAAATACTTGGGATCCGTTGGTCAGACACTATCAGTAACAATCTACTTTGGGAGAGAATAAGCCAGATTGTAGCAAAGGGAGAAATCAGTAAGAAGCACTATAAGTAGATGGAACACACATTGAGAAAGTTCCCAACTGTGTCACAATGCAATCTCTCACTTGGAATCGCTAAGGCTGAATAAAGGAGAAGTGAGAGACCAAAGAATACATTACGCCGACAAATGGAGACAGACAAGAGGAGAATGAACAAGAATTGGAAAGAATCGGAAACGAAGGCCCAGGACAGAGTTGGTTGGAGAATGCTGATGGGCGGTTTCTTCTCCATTGGGAGTAACAGGCGTAAGTAAAAGTAAAATTAAGGATGGTTTCCTCCCTACGAAATTCAAAGACCTATCTACATTCGATAATGATTTTCGTTTGGTTATTATCTGCTCTATTTCTTTTACTTACCATAAGGTTTAGCTGTACGTGGTCTTTCTTCTTGCGATACCATAAAAGCGCTAACATTCTCACCATTCAATGGATTTGAAATTTTGACTGGTGTTCGCTTTTTTGATATTTTAACTTCAGAATTATAATCATATGTTGCACAATTCTCACCAGTTATAGCGTTACGTGAAGGTTCTAAAAATCAAGAGGTCATTAAAACAAGGACCTATCATTAAGAACTCCATATGAGAAACATTATTCCTAGGAATCATTTGGATAACTAGAGGTTAAGAATACCCGATTTGTTTAATAACAATAATATTGTATAACACAGATTCAAATCATATGGATAAGCATATGTCCCATCAAGAATACGGACACAACTTGGTAATAAGCATCAATAAGTAACTATCACTGGTTCCCTATTGATGACCGCTGAATATTTAAAACTAAACAGACTGTATAATGGTACTGCCCTGTCGTATGCTCGATTATTTTGTATTACCGATATCCTTTCCTTTATGTATAGAAGTTATACTACTTAATCACACTCAGTAGTTCATGTCACCACTGATCATTTTTGAACATGATTCGGAACAGATTACCGATTAGTCATGTGAAAACTATCATTCATTTTCCATTATTGATGGTAGCTGTTTGACATGAAGTTTCTATTTCCAACGATTCATAAACATTATTTTTTTTACCAGTTTTTTTTCCTTGAAGAACTCCACTTGTAACTCTTTTAGGGCTACTACCAGACACAAGCCCGGGTAATGGGGGGGGCAACCCCATCTCGTAGAAAACAACCTTGCTAAAAATACGCTAACCGGTTCTCCTTGACACTGAATCAATATACCTGAACACCTCACTATTCGGGGTTTGTAAACTTTATCGGTTATGCTGATTTTCTTTGACATAACCATATTCTTTGGATTTCGAAATTTGGCATATAAAATTATTCAGTGAATGCGAATTATGGAAAGGATTCTATAATTGGTCTAAATAATTCAATATGGTACCTTGGAATTTATTTCATCTTGAGTAGTTGACGATGATTAGTAGTATAAATTCAAACTGAGTTTGTAGTGTTGGTTACTAATGTTAAGCCCATCTACCTTATTCTAGCTTCTGAACAGGCCAATTTATCCATTCTTCTTGAGTCATGTTTTAACATTGTTAATTATTCACTTAACAACTGTGACTGTTTTTATATGAGCGTATGTGTGTGTACACTTCTAATCCTATTCATCAAATGTATGCAGCTTATTTTTTGTGTGACTTTAAATATCTATTAACGCATGATTAAACCAAGTTGGTTCACGCGCCTTCTCCACTGGACGTCATTTCACTTCGATCTCTTCTCTTCGTTTCGTTCCTCTGATTGTCTGTCTAGATCAATGAATGTACAAAATATACGTATTCAAAACACTCATTCTCCTATTTGACTTATTTAATTCCGTTATTCACCAACGCGATTTAAGTCGATGTAATATATGAGGATTGACGACATGTATATCTCAATAACGATCAATCATGCGATTCAATTGGAGTCAGATCTTGGGCCACTAAAGTGGTGAGCCCGTCGGTAAAATTGTCTAATATAATTGACGTCAAATTGGAGGGCCCCATGGAAAGTTCTTCTCTCGTTTCATATTTCAATCATCCAGGTTAAAACAAGTTATCTTCCAGTGTTTATGTCACATAATTTCCTGAATTATACTTCCTAGTACTCAGACACATAAAAATAAATTTCAAAGTAACGAAGTTAAGTTACTACTGAGCGAAGATTCGAATCATGAGTTAGGCATTTCTCGGGTTGATAGGCGTTTAAGGTAAACATCAAATCAGCTTCATGTTTGGCATCGGTTAGAGATTGCAAGTAACTGAAAATTATTGAATACTATCTTCGTTCAAATTTGGAACTACATAATAGTGTGTACCATGACACCCTCATCTATGTCCTGAAAGTTTTGTATAGAACACAAAACTTTCTTAATGTGAATGCGGAAACGTTTGTCAGTCAAACTTATGCTAACTATAGGTAGCAACAAAATTTCGCGCTCAAGACCGAAGGTTCTGGGTTCGAATCCTGAGTGCAGTATTGCCGATGTGTACTGCTAAGGAGTCCTATACTAGGACGAAACAGCCATCTAATCCTTTCAGGTTTTCAATAGTGGTCTAACGTTTATCGATTCATGATCTTAATCGAATACTCAACAATCTCCACAACCCTAATGCTGATACCTATAAATATTTTGATTGCTATCACTCACCTCGTTGTACACGTTTAATAGGAGATTTCAATTCAGGTGAAACTGTGTAATTCTCACAATTTTCTCCAGTGAAAATATTCTTCGTAGAAACTGGTTTGTTGAGAATTTAAAAAAAAGAAACATGAAACTTTTACAATGAAAAGTTGCAGTCCTAAATAACAATGGGAAGATTCAAGTTAACAATACCAAATGAATTTAAACTTCACCCTATTGCACAAGCAAGTGTCCATGAGAACTCAGTATCTAAGTGGATAACGCGTTGGCGATTGATGCGAACGGTACTGGGCTCTAGTCTCAGAGTGAATATCAACTGTGTGATGCAGATACATCCAGGTGACGAGTCCCAAATAGGACGAAACGCATATCGTGGATTACACTGTTAACCGATATCCATCTTTGCTTATAATGTAATGAGTTACATATTATATAAGGTATCCTTGATTACATATTTGACTAATTGTGTTAGTTTAATCAACGAAAGTATTTTGTAAGATGTCAATCACTATCATTCATCTCCTTACTTAAGATAAGATTTAACATAACTAATTAATCGCTGTTTTATATTGCGGTATCAGTATGGAGAGTAAAGATTTTATTGATTGAGGTAATAGTAATCTATAAAATTGATTTTCTTTTCCAATCATTTGTAACAACGAATTACATTTTAAGGAGTTAATATGTATCAAAAAGGGTTTTCGTAGATATTATAGCAATTTCACTAGTTGAGATCATGAGTCAATTGAAGCTAGACCACCATGGAAAACCTGGATGTGCACTGCTGAAGAGTCTCACAGTAGGACGAAACAGCCGTCTAGAGCTTCCAGATTTTTCATGGTGCTCTAGCTTCAATTGACTCATGATGTCAACTGCTAAAAAAAGAATTAATATAAGTTCGACATAGACGTTTGATTAATTAGTGTTGAGTACTACTAAGTTTGCAGTACATAAACGTGATTGGTAATTAATGTAAATCGTATTTACATTAGCGCATTGAGATATTCGTTTCGATTTGTTTTCCGTGCCAAATAAATCTACATCTAATATTTTCATGTTCTTACTTGTGTTGTGAGATTCGTGAAGTCATATAGTTGGTACCAGTTATTATTTGTTATGACAACAACTATCGATGTGTTTTTGAAGACTGTAGTAAATTATTATCTGAATCAGCTTTTATATTTTTATTTGTGTCGTGAAAAATGCACTGGTTTCCGGTATTGTAATGAATCAATTGAGCTGTAATAGCTTGATAAAATCGTTCTTCAATGTCCTACCATGCCAGTCAGGCAGGTCGGTTGAAGAGCCACAGCACTAAAAGCAGCAAATCCAAGGTCCGAAGGCAAAGTCGTATTGCTGACTGTACACAAGTGTGATGGCAGTAAGGTGATTTCATCAGACAACCAGCATAAAAGTGATGCTGCCTTCTCACAAGGAAGGATGGAGTTAGAAAAGGTCTACCCTGAAAATACACACCTCACCTTATCCCACAGATTTCTGTCTCCGGCGGTGAGATCCCAACAAGTACGGTGCTAGCACGTAAATTACTTGCAGAAATGTCGTGTGTGACCGGCCTCAAGTAATTGTCACTTAGGCATTGCGATCACACTCTCAGATCACTAAGACCACCTCTAATCCAATTTCCTTTTCATGTACTTCTAGAAGAGCACTTCCACAGTGTAGGCGACCGGGAAAGGGTAACTGTCTTCATATTTCTAACAGCACTCAAAACCACTGTATTCATAATCAATCTCCTCTTTTGGTATCAATTATCAACAGTTATTGCGGTTACAACGAGGTAACAGGTCTTCATGATATGAATGTATCATTTAGTGATTATTGTTATACAAATTAATTGATTTAATTTTCATCTCCCTACCATCATTCTATCTCGGTCCCTTAAATGCCTAAGACAATTTTCAAGTTCCTAACTAGTAACGCCATTAGAATGTTTTAACCTTTTAAATACACTCATTAAAGTAAATAATTTTCAATATAACACCAGGCTTTTATGGCGACGTCGAAGAACTCTGAAATGATCATGATAAACTAATGACAATGTTTTTTTTAGCCAATCATGATGCAGATAATCTAAATGAATAATTTATCACGAAGAAAAATGTTAAAAAGGATTCGAGTCATGACTAGAAGTTCAGGTTAGGATTTAAAGTTAAGAGATAGAGTCAAGACACTGATTGACCTAGTTTCAATTCTAGTCGATATTAGTCAACAAGCATAAAGTTTAATCATATGAGAACTAGGGTATTTTGAACGATTCTGCTAAGCCCAAAGAGATTACATCGAAAATTGGTGAATTGAACAGGGGATTAGCAACACAACAGCAAGACAAGCTAAACTATTCACTGCGCCCCAGCCTTGCTAGCCAGAGGGAGAAGACCAGATTCAATTAAGGGAAAGTATATTCCACAAGACGTCAGAATCATGAATGAGCAATCACATAACTCAAGCATATAAAAATGTCTTTAGTAAACGTCACAAAATACCATATTAAAAAAAGGGAGCAAACTAATAACATTTAAGATCCTTCTACGTGGGAAATATAAACTAACGGTAAAACTGTGCGCATTTAGTTCGAAAATGAGAACTTCAACTTCTCAAAATAAAATTACAAAATGAGACGTTTACCAAGTGATTTCTGATGATCTAGCATCGTCAACAGATTCAGTGATGAACCATCTAGTTTCATATTTGAAGATATTGATATTAAACTATTCTGGCGATGAGGCAGGAATCAGAATCGCACGTCATCCATCTACTTCTTTACCATTAGTAATACATTTTACGGATGGGTATCAAAAGTACGTTACATAACACTACAGTTTATAATACTGTTACTAAGTCACCTTTTTATGTAGATAATTGTTAGCGGGACATAGACTGGATTAAAGCATGCTCAATACACGATTGCTTTGGTGCACGCTGATTAGCTAATTCTTATCTAATCAGCACTAGTCGATACTTGAAGCATACTCTAGAATCTTCTCATGTAAAAACTATAAATGTACTAACGTTTTCCCTATTGTGCTTCTTACTTCCTCCTTACTTCCATCTAACCTTGTTATTTGGAATATGATCTCTTTCCTGTTCAACCGTGTTTTGATTTGGGGACTTGTCGAGTGAATGGGTGTCCGAGAATACTAAGCAATAGGAATAGCTGGGTCATAGCCGTAAGAAAGAGATTATAACAATAATAAAGTGATAATATTCACAAATCTCGTTCAAACTGGTTAGCAATTAACATTCTATAATCAAACTATGCGATACAAAATAGGAATAAAAACTATTTACCATTTCGTTTGCAGACACCATTTTCTTTATTTGTACATCTTTCCTCAGCCATGACAGTGAAAGTTTTCACATTTTCACCAGTTAATGGATTAGTTCTAATACCTAATTAATCATAAAACATTAAATGTAATTGAAAAACATTAATAATAATCTGTGTAGTAAATTTTAGCAATTTCTTAATTTTGTAGAATATTTTATACTACTTACATACTTTTTTAAGTAAACTGTAATCTCAACAGATAATTCTCGGAGTTCTAGTGAGAAGCTTCGATTAGTGGAGTTCAACTGTGCCTGGTATGAAGCAGTTTGTTTATCGAAGAAAATGGAAGATGCTCGCGAAATATTGTGGATTAATTGAAATTAGATATTAACATTAGTGAATACCAGTTTAATGGTCTCAAGTTTAAGCGTTTGAGTGTGAGTCCGAAGGCCCTTGGTTCGAATCCCATGTGCGGGATCGTGGGTGCTCACCACTGAGGAGTCGCATAGTAGGACAAAACGGTAATCCAGTGCTTCTAGGTCTTCACTAGTGGTTTAACAATGATGGGTTCATAAATTTCAAAAATGGATTATCCACAAGACACTATCATACTAAAATCTATAAAGTTTTATAAATTCGGAATGTAATAAACAGATATTTCATTGAAAAATCATGAAAAATCTCATAAAAACAAATACAAGTTATAGCACCCCTCTCAAGATGAAGTTTTCCTACGGTTAATTATGTCAAACCCTTTAATTAACTTATTTAATAGACAATGTTATTCGAACAGTAACAAATGGTCTATGTCTTTGTATTATCATTATTATTACATCTATATGATCATATATGCTTGGTTACATGTGACAGCCTACACATATATTCCTTCCTTTATCTTAGCCGTTAGTCACTTAGAAATCTCTCAGTCAATCTATCGCTCCCCCATATATATTATATATGTGTTTGTGAATCTTATTGTTTTATTTGCTTATCCAATGGATATCCATCGCCGGTAGCAAGATCTCAACAAATATGGTGCTAGAACGAAAATTAATCACAAAAACGTCGTGTGTGACCGGCCTCAAGTAATTGTCACTTGGGCACTGTGGTTATGCTATCAGATCACTAAGACCACCTCTAATCTAATTTCCTTTTCATGTACTTCTAGAAAAATGTTTGCACGTTGTGGGCGACCGGGAAGTGATAACTGCCCTCATATCTTTAACAGCACTAAAGATCACTGACTGAATAATGACATAGTATTCTACATTCAACTTGACATGGTCACAAAAACTGATCATTTGTTTTCAGCTTTAGAATAACTCATAAGTATATGGCTAAACGTTTTGAGTTTTGACAAGTTCGCCACCTGCTTCGTTTGTCTTTACTCACACAGTTAGGTAAGACTAGACTGGAAAAATGTTGAAATCTTGAATATAAGGAATATAAAGAACATCAGAGAATTTTTAGAAGCACGATAGTCAGATCAATCAACAATTAATAAACATGTAGAAATCGATCCAGTCTATTAAACAGTCAGGATAATCATGACAGATTAAAACTTCTTCTGAAGCCCCTCTGGGGCTACTTCCGGTCCCATACCCGGATAAAAGAGAAGGGTTGGGCATGGGGTTAACGACCTTATCGCGTAGAAAACTAACTTGCTAAAAAAACGCTAACCGGAAAATGACAGAATAAAGGTCAATAAGAACCAGTCATGATTAAGGTCGATAAGACATTAGTCATATTTTAAGGAAGTTGAATACTTCACTTCTACATGAAGTTTATGCCGATGATAATGTTCAGAATAATAATGAAAACTCTACGATCAAACTAACCAACTCAAAGTAAGAAACTTTACCAAAATGATCGATCTAAACTACTAAATCTTAACCACCATCTTAAAGTCAAATAAAATCACTGACAGGTAAATAAAACAATTTAGGGATAAAACTGGACAATTATTCACTTTCATTATTGAGTTACGACTGCTTTACTCCAAATCCGCCTGGGACCCCTCTGGGTCTAGGCGTGGGATTAGCGACCCCATCCCGTAAAAAACTAACTCACTAAAAAACGCTAACCAGAAAAAATAATTTAGATTATTTAAAATGCTTTACTTCAGATGTTTTCGAGCTTTGCGAGTCACAGATGATCAGTACATCCAAATAAAAGTCACTCAAATAGTGAACATTAAACTAACAAGTTGTTTCATAAATTTTGTAAACCTTTAGCACATGAACTCTTGACACTAACTTCTTAAGAATTTCTAGTTCCCCAGACCTTTGCTACACTTAAACCCTTGAAAAGAAAACAAAAGGTGGGAAATACGATACAAAGGAAACTTTCCGAGGTTAATTTTGATAAGTCGTGTAGGTTGAACGCTATAAACAGTTCCTAAGCTATTTCGGTAACCCGCAGTCTAGAACTACACAGCGACTTGAACTCCAGAGAGAAGACACAAGAATGAGAGAAAGCACTTTATTCCAAGGTTCATTTATTCTCGATATCTTTGTCCATTGACGGCCAATAAGCATAGTTACGAGCCAAAGATTTCATTTTACTGATTCCAGGATGGCCACTGTGAAACTGCTTGAGAACCTTGTGACGTAATAACTTCGGAATAACAATGCGATCACCGAACATAATACAGGAGTCAACAACCATTAGAGAGTCCCGTCGACGAAAATATTGCAAAAGTTCTCCGTCAAGGCGATTGTTTGGCCATTTGGTCAAGAGATAGCATTTAACTGAGCTCAGTATCTTATCACTTTCAGTTATCTTCTTGATAGTTTCAAAGGTTACTGGGAGTCCATTAACTGCGTCATCCAACACGCGATGAACTTCTTCCTCGGCTTTTATATTTGCTACAAGAGTCTCCTCCGGGGTTTTCGATTGAGAGCCTATTAATCTCGACAATGCGTCAGCTTGCCCGAAAGCGGTAGTAGACTGATACTTAATCTTGAAGTCGTAACCCAGAAGTGTGGTTGCCCATCGTTGTAGTCTGTTAGCTGTATGAACAGGAATTCCTTTCTTTGACCCAAAAACTGCAAGTAGTGGTTTATGGTCTGTTATTAGGGTAAAATGTCGACCATATATCATCTTGTGGAACTTTTTCACTGCAAAGATAATTGATAGGGCTTCTTTCTCGATTTGGCTATAGTTCCTTTCGGTCGTTGTCAGAGATCTGGCAGCGTGTGAGATAGCTTTTTCAGACCCATCAGGAAAAATGTGAGAGATAACTGCGCCCACACCATAGTTAGAAGCATCTGAAGCGACGACTATCGGTAGAGAAGGATCATAATGTGTCAATAAGAGATCGGAAGTTAGAAGTTGCTTGATTTTCTCAAAAGATGCTTGGCAGTCTGCAGATTAATTCCATCTTGTGTTCTTTTGTAGTAGGTTGTTTAGTGGAGCACGTAGACGATGGAGATCGGGGAGAAAGGTACCGTAATGACTGACCAACCCCAAGAATGATCGTAGGGTAGTAACGTCCCTGGGTCTAGGCATTGTGTTCACTGCTTCAATGTTCTCTGGATCTGGACGTCTTCCGTCTTTATCTATTATGAACCCAAGGTACTGTACTTGCTGCATATAGAAGTCACACTTTTCCGCCAGGAGGCGAAAACCATAATCAGCTATGCGTTCTAGTACCTGGTCCAGTTTCTTCTGCAGCTCCATTTTATCTACTGCCGTAATTATGATGTCGTCTAGGTAAGCTGCAGCTCCCGGAACAGACCTTTGTGCGTGTTGATCGTTAAGAGATCTTTGCTTTCATCAGATACAGGAATTTGTAGGTATGCGTCTGATAAGTCCAATTTTGCAAAATATCTGCCACCGTTCAGCTTAGCGAAAAGATCTTCTGGTAAGGGTAACGGATACTGGTGAGACTGTAGCGCCTCATTTAATCCCGTGGAGTAGTCTGCACATAAACGAACACTTCCATTCGACTTCTTGACCACCACTATTGGTGCAGCCCAATTCGAGAAGTTCACAGGCTCGATAACACCCATTTGTTGAAGTCGTTGTAATTCTTGTTCAACTATTGGAAGAGCAGCATAGGGTACAGGTCTTTTAGGTCGAAAAACGGGAGCAGCTTCAGGTTTTAGAGTTAACAGTGCTTTGGCTTTCGTACATTCTCCCAATCCTTCTCTAAACACGTCTTGATGTCTTTGTAGCATGGCGTTTTTCTGATTCCATTCTGGGGTGTTGTCTGTACTTACTCGTCTGCAGATACTGTTGATAGAATGATCTGCTAGTTTAAGTGTTTCTATGAGGTCCAACCCCATTAAGTCTAGTGCTGGCTTCTTAGTAAGATACAATGTTGCATTTGTTGTTACCGTACCTTTAGAAACAGTGCATGGTATTTCTCCAACAATATTCAGCTTCCCCCCCAGATGCACTGTGTGCCAGCTGTATTGTTGGGAAAACTGTGGGTCTCCCAATGTTCTTCCACGTTTCTGGGCTGATTAAAGTAATATCAGAAGCTGTGTCCAGCTGAAGACGGGCACGGTGTTTATTAATATTCAAGGTCACATACTTTCTTTGGTGGCAACTTCGTGCTCTGTTATGTGATACCAATATCTTGTTGGTTGGAGCACTATATCTGTGTTTCTTTGAGTAAGACTTTACGGAACGTTTTCTATAGTCTCTCCTCCTGTAGAAGTTTTCTTTATGCCCCTTCCGATGACATTTGCTGCAACGATGTTCTTTATATGGGCAAAAACTCTTATAGTGCCAACCTCCACATGCCCAGCATGGAGATGGTGGTTTGTCGCTGTTATTTTGGAAATTATGGGTACTGGAACCTTGAAAGACTTTTCTCTTAACTGCATTGACGTTACGGAAAGAGTTACCGTTTTCTACCATTGAGGTATCATGCTTTAAGTTTACTAACCTTTGGCACTCAGTAGTCACTTCTTGCAGGGTCATATTAGGGCAGTGTTCGAGTTTGCTTAGGAGTCTGGTTCGGATATCAGCATCTTCGGGTGAACGCAGGCTGCAGATAAACACTAAGCATCTAAACTGATCTTCAGACATGGACGCCAATCTAAACCTCTCACATTCTCGGTTCACCGTTCCTGCATGCTTTACCCAATCATCTCCTGGTTCTTTTGTTAACTTTAAGCATTGGTAACGGATATTAAATAGAGATGATTGTTCTCCGAATATTTGGGATAGGGTTTTGACTGTATCATCAAAACTAAAATCTCGTGGGTTCTTCGGAAGAATGAAGTTGCTATAGCGTTCATGTTCCATAGTCCCAAGTTTTCTAAGAAGTATTCTGACTTTTGAAGCATCATCCAGTTTGCAAAGATCAATATAAAACAAATCTTCATACTTCTTAAACCACGACTCGAAAGTTACACCTGCTACACCATCAAAATTAAAGTCATGGATGGCGTTAATGACTGAATCAGTATGTGATACTTGAGATTCACTAGAAGCAGGGTTTTTCTCGGACAGGCAGAATTTCTGCATCAGGGTTTCCATGATTCTAATTTGGGACTCTTCAAACCTCTTTTCTTGACGCACCATATAAGCTTCTAATTGCTCCAAGGAAATATTCATTGAAGTTTTCATCCCCGTCGCCACTGATAAGTCGTGTAGGTTGAACGCTATAAACAGTTCCTAAGCTATTTCGGTAACCCGCAGTCTAGAACTACACAGCGACTTGAACTCCAGAGAGAAGACACAAGAATGAGAGAAAGCACTTTATCCCAAGGTTCATTTTTGTACAGAAAATCATGGGTATTTATAGATTTTGGGATCTGTTAAATCAACATCATTTTACAGCCAATCCGATAACAACACATTATGCTACCGACCAATAGTAGCACGCCACGTTGGAATTCTAGAACGTTCCATCACACTCTGATTGGCCAGGACTCTTCGGCTCCTTGTGGGCCTCTGGAGGCTCCGTTGAAGTTCTCCGGAAGCCGACCCAACAAATTTAGGCACAGAAGTAAAGTAAATTTAAAATCTTGTGTGTGACCTTAATACCTTACAGGTACTAGAACCATCCACGCATCATTGACTGTTCAATCCAGATATAACAAATGATCTATCATTTCTCAAGAACATTCTAGGAACTTCCTTTCAAACTTTGAATTATGAAATAACTTCAACATTTCCCCAGATTTTAAATATTTTTCTGGCACACTCTAAAGAATTCTTTGTAGTCTGTGGGGTAGTACACCTGGTAAACTTTAATTTGTCCCTGCCCCAAATTCCCTGGTACGGCCGAGGGTTGGAAGAGTCAAATCTCACTATCTTGAAATGCTCTCATATAGCCACTCAGTCAGGGAAGTCCTACTCACTGCCTCCTAAAGGCGGTAGGGGTGTTGTTTACGAAATTGAGAGGACGAAAAGCGAATTTCCAACGCTTTAATCGGGTTGGTGGATATAGAGGACCCACCTAGGGGAGTTGGAAAACTCTGATTCCAAACCAATGATGTATATAGGCTTCAGGATCCATAAGGAACAAATGGCGTATGAATTAGTTATTGGTCAACGGCTTACATGAAACTGCATCTCCTAACGTTTCTCCACTGCCTTATGGATCAGACCTTTAGGTTAAAGTTTCCGGGTGTGGCCCCCCTAAGGCAACCACCTGCTTCGGTCTGGACACCCGGGGATCATCACAGCCCATACACAAATCAACTGACTTGTGTGCCTCATATTGATTCGATACCTCTTTGTACCAATATTTATGTGTTCAAATAGAAATAGAATAAATAATTTCTCGCTAAATATCAACCAAATCATCTTTATATTCATTTTGAAGTTCTTTGTATGCCAACTTGGACCGATGCATATATGTGCCTGGTCCTGCGTTGTAGCTGACTGACTGACTGCAAACAACCTTTTAGAATGATATAAATTATCTCAACGTTTCAGTTACACAATTGACCTTGAATGGAGGTCATTTTGAGGCATAAAACTTAAAATTATGCTCTTTAGCAAATTCATTAAACTATTTTATTTAAACTTTATTTCAATAAACAAATACAGTTTCTTTCTCTTAAGACGAATTGTACATTTTAATTAGAATTTAACCTTATTATACAATGAAAGATGAATAACATTCATGTGCCAGATCAAAGACCCTGGGTTCAAATCCCGCAAGCCGGACTGTGGATGCGCACTGTCGAAGAGTCCCACAACATGATGAAACTGCCATCCAGTGCTTCTTAAGATTTTTTTTAATGATGGTCTCACATCAATCAGTTCGTGATCTCAATTTAAAGAAAATTTGGGAAATCTTACCAGTAGAACTTTTGGCTCGTCTAGTTTTTCCATTATATCTACCAATTGGATCCCATTCACGATCACCAAAATTTCCTCTCCCAGAAATGGGATCACGTTGTGCTATAGATATATGTACAAAGGATACCATTATGTAAAGAAGTCGTTATTGGTAATAACGAAAAATAAACGAGTATAATCAGTATCTATTATGATTCATATTGGAAGCGATTCGAATATATGTATATAGCAAGTCATTGATACTCAGTAATACTTGTAGAATGAGGACTGTGCACAATAAGTCAGTGCAAAAAAAACAGCCACAGGGACACGATTGTTGATTACAACCCAGACTCTAACTTGTTGAACGTTATAAAAAGATCATTGTAAATCATACAGATCAGCTAGTTATGTGAATCATCAACAAGCTGATCATTTATAAACAATATTCTTTTCAAAAAGTAAATGATAACATAATAGTTCTAATGAACTATGGTTTACCATTAAAATAAACCAAGTGAAGTACCCTTTCATGGTTTACATAACAGATAGAACTTAGTTAGTCAACCATTGGAAAGAAGAAAGTACAAAATAGCTATTTAGCCGTAGTGTAGAATTTTTCAGTAACCTGAATCCGCGGTCACATCGGAGATTGACCCCATGACCATCAGATCTCATAATGTGCCTAAGCTTTAAATCACTAAGTTAGCCCCCAATGATTTGTATTGCTAACTTAAATCAACGAACAGTATTGAGCAGTCATCATTCAATTTCATCGGTGGATGACAACTTCACTGTTAGTGCAGTTGAAATTAATTAATCATGGCCCGTCACTAAACCTCCAGTAAGTACCTCTTTAAAAAGTTGTCCAGTACATAATTATTCCCTGTACTTATCCAATGTTATTCCGTGATATAAGTTATCAAACTGACCAACCTACTCAAACCTCTCAGTACTGACATGATCTTGTTTGACCGAACGGATGTTTCACATAATGTTAACGAACCTATTACTAAGGTACTTATGGAATAATTTCAAAATATCTAATTACATTTAATGCAGTCACTTATGATATGATTAACCAGGACAATAATGGAAATTACCCAGCTGTATGAGCTAAGGGACTCTAATACAAATAAATTACTTCAACTAATTTCGGGAATAAATTGAAAATGATTTCACAGTATTATTTAAAGTCCCTAACATTCTAATCACCCAAACATTCTTTTTAACGTTTACATCCATTTCAGACAGTTCTTTATCATCGATGTAGGACCTAGTGGGAATGTACCGTAGTGTGAATCATCAACTTTCACATTAACACAACCAGAGAGAAAACTGACAGAATGAGAAACAGAAAAAGAGATGAATTTCAAGTACAAAGGGGAAATGAAACGTGCACAATTCAATTTACAATAAGGAGAAAATGAGGTGAAGAGTTATCAAGCATACTTAACATAAAATTTAAAATACTACAGAGAATGTTAGCAGCTGTACTAATGTGATTTTCTGTCCCGACCGTTACTACTACCTTGACGTGGTGGTCGGGTTTGATTATTTTAATGAAGTAATTGAGCTATGCTAGTTGGAACAATCATTCCTCAAGGTCCTACCATGTCAGACAGGTCGGTTGAAGAGCGGTAAGACTAAAAGCAACAAACCTAAGGTTCGAAGGCGAAGTCGTACTGCTGACTGTACAGATGTGTGACGGAAGTAGGGTGTTTTCTTCAGACAACCAGCATAAAAGTGATGCTACCTTCTCACACGGAAGGATGGAGTTAGAAAAGGTCTACCCTGAAAATGCACACCTCACAGCTGAAAGCAATATTTAAGGAATATCAACATGACGACTACATATATCAATGAACGAATTTCCAATCCCTATTAGGAATTAGAATTTAATTTCAACAGTTGAGTCATTGATTCGGATCATACGTGCCTAAAAATCATTATTCACAAGTTTTCTTATCTACAAAGGTTGAAACTAGTGAATAATGAGGAAGTTTGTCCGTGCTTCTAGACAATTCAGAAACTTTTAGGGGGTAAAACCTATACGGAGAAAACAAAAAATCTATCTCAATCTGATACATTTTAGAAATCAACAGTGAAATAACTGTCACTAATCAAATTTTCTAGATTAAGACACTACTGATAATATAAGTAGAGATGAATAGTGGCTAGCAGTGGAATCCGGAGTGCGCGTTTCGTCCTATTTGAGACTCATCAGCTGGATGTACCTGAACCTCAGAGTTGACGTTCACTCCGGGACTCGAACCCAATGCCGTCCGCTTCAAATACCACCGCATTGTCCACTTAGCTGCTGAGTCCTGATAGCCATTTGCAATACGCACAGTATGTACATATTACCAATAAGAGACTGATCAATTGCAGTCCTAATCATCAATGGGAAGATTCATGTAAAAGTAATACCAAGTGAATTTACTACTGATAATAGTTTCAACGGTCTATTAAAGATGATCTACTTGTTTATTCATCTTATTGTTTTAACTTTATTCGTTCAGTATTTGAAAATATGATGGAAGCAATTTCTTTGATTATGTATACCCATTCTTAACAATGCACTATGTAGTCGAATATGTTCAGAAGACTACTACTTATATAAATTGACATTTCATATGATACTGATTCTTAACATTGAGTTATCGAAATAATAAAATTTCCAGTTCACTTGTTAATATATTTCACATCTTAGTAGTGAATATTCCATTGATTGAAGATTAGTCAATGTAAATAGTGTTAAAGTTTATAGATGCTTTAATAATTCTTAAAGGTTAAAAGTACAAACTGAAAAGACAAGAGAAAATAAACAGTAAGTAACTGGCTTCAAGATGTGTTTCCTGAAGTTCTAATGAGTAGACGTAACCAATGGAGTCAAACCATGTCTGTTCTCAGGCAGTTACTGACTAAAGATAATGATGAACAGTTGTACAATATAGTGAATTGGTTGAAGGTAGACATTAACACCGTTGAATACCGGCTCAGTAGTCTAGATGTTAAGCGTTCGTACACGAGACCGAAGGTCCTAGGTCCGAATCTCGCGTACAAGATCGTGGATGCTCACTGTTCACGAGTCCCATACTAGGACGAAATAATCAACCACTACTTCTAGGTTTCTCAGGGTGGTCAAACTTAAATCAATCATTAGGAATTACTACAATATCCATAAAATCGTATTCAGACAGTAAGTTTTCTATTTTGCCTAAAGCTTTTTTATCTTCTCTATTATTCATTTTGTCTGGGAAAAAGAAATCAAATTAGTTTCAATGAATCAATAATGAATAACCATGACCATTCGAATGAGAAGACCGAATAACTGAATCAAATATTTGAAACGGATTGGCTAGTTACATGGGTGTTTTTTCTCCCTTTTTCCCTCTTTCTTTCTCTCCGTTTTTTTCTTCTTTGAAAAACAAACAAACAATTTATGCTTGTTTGTCAATGATGTCGATGAATCATTTTTTTCATAGACAAATAAACAACTCAAATACTCTATTAGTCATTCTAATCAAATCTAATGTATAGTCTAATTATCAAAAGGGCTTTTGTGGAGATTGTAGTAATTTCAATAGTTGAAATCATGAGTCAATTGAAGTTAGATCACTATGGACAACTTAGAAGCACTGGACGGCCGTTTCGTCTTAGTATGGGACTCCGCAGTAGTGCTCATTCAGAATCCCATTCCCCTCACCGCGAGATTCAATCAAAGGACCTATCAGTCTCGCGCGCGAGCGTTTAACCATTAGACCACTGAGCCGAAATTCAATGATGTTAATGTCAAAGTTCAACTAATCGATGAAATTGCGCCACCGTACACCATTATCTTTAATGAGACAATATCTCACAACAGACCTGGTTGAACTCCACTGGTCACTGCTTCTCACTAGAACTCTAGGAAATGCCTCTGGAAGTCAGTCACTAGTGAGAAAATGACTATTATCAGAAGGGGTATTTTGGAGATTTTATTAATTTCAATAGTTCAAATCACGAGTGAATTGAAGTTAGACGACCATGGAAAACTTGGAAGCACTGGACGGACGTTTCGCCCTAGTATGGGACTCCTCATCAGTGCGCATTCAACCAGGTCTGTTGTGAGATATCAGCTCACTGAAGACAATGGTGTACGGTAGCGCAATTTTGTGTATCGTCTAACTTACAGTGTGGATTTAAGGTAAAAGATTAAGGAAAAGTTTTTGATGAAATTTTATTGTCTAAAATTTCAGGTTCAAGTTTTTTATGATGATGTTGTTCAGAAGAAAGATGGAAGCTCCACGACTATTCCATTCAACTCAGAGAACAAAACTTCATTAAAATCATCCACCTGAGTTACAAGTCTTCTCCATCAACTGAGGAAAAGTGGAATATGAATGTGTAAAAGTAACTAGATTTGGTAAGCGCTTGGATTATGGTTAGTATCTTTTTATTTTTACTTAATTGGTTTACATGTATATCTATGGTATCCTTCCTGTATTTGAATAGATTGAAAAAAACATCAGAGTATTTATTTTATTTATATTTATTTGAACACATAAATATTGGTACAAAGGGACATCGAGCACTTATGCACCACACAAGTCAGTTGATGTGTGTGTGGGCTGTGATACTGTCCGGGTACCCAAACCGAAGTAGGTGGTTTACTTAGGTGGCCACACATGGACCCTTCAAACTAAGGGTTTGATCCACAAGGCAGTGGGGCAACATCAGGAGATGCAGTCACACGGTAGCCGGTGACCAACGATTGGTTCACACGCCATTTCCTCCTTCAAGATTCTAGAACTCATACACGCCATTAGGTTGGAATCATAGTTTTTCAACACCCCCAGGTGGATCCTCCATATGCATCAACCCGGTTAAAGCACTGGACATTCGATTTTCCTTCTCTCAATTTCGCAAACAACAATAATGCCACGAGAAGGCACTGATCACTCTCTACTGGATCGATAGTTTGTCTAATAAGTTGTAATAAGGTAATATACTCAGTTGGTTAATTTTCATATGGATTTTCTGTCATTATCGTAATAGAAATATCTTTTTTAAACATAATGGATAAAAGTAAGTGCTAAAAGATGTGCCGCACGAATTTTCAATTCCAGTGTAAATTTCTCTGACAGTGGGCGTTCACAACTTCACACAGTGATGAACGACAGAAACTTTCAAATCCAATCAGAGAACCAAATATTTTCGTATTATGTCGTCTTTTCCTAATCCTTTCTAATACCGATTTCTACTATTATTATTATTCATACTACTACTCTAGGGTTTTCAGTAACGATTTTATCGTACTGAGTAAATGTAATGTTGTTACTTAGATACGAAGATATTCCAAACACTATGCTGTTCATAACTGACTAACTATCCCTTGTATCATTCAATAAGTTCAATAGTCTGATCCGTTATTTTATTTTCCTTAGAGAACTATCAACAGTTTACATTCAACCTATAACATTAGTCTATAAATGATCATCATTCATTTCAATTTTGAAATATAATGAACATTTCGTAATCTCCAACAACAACAACAACAACAAAATTATTCTCTTTGTATATTGATCAAAATGAATTGACTACTAATTTCAGTATCCCAGTATAATCTCATTGAAATGGTAACCAATTAAATTGAATTATTGATCTTACCGGTATTGATTTCAATGTAGATGGGTATTTTTGTTTGTTTTATTCGGTATGTAGAGAATTTACAAACAATTCGCAAATGTTTTTTTTCTTGGTTTCAATTACAGTAACCATCAGGTATGAAACGTTTTTCTATAGTTTCATTGTGTTATTTTCCCCTCTTAATACTGAATGGATTGTTGACAAAGCAAGGAATGTGTTGTACCATTGTGAATTATGTTAGTAACAATCAGTTCTGATTATATTTTGATTAGAATTTCGAATAATGATTATTTATTATTTATATAAACATTTATACAAGAAGGTACCAAATATATATATATATATATGCGTCATAGAAATCATTCGATTTATGTAAGGTCTGGGAGCACCCAAACCGAAGCATGTGGTTTTCTTAGGGATACACTCCACGAGTATATGACTTAAAGGTTTAATCCACAAGTCAGTGAGATAAAATCAGGAGATACACTCCCATGATAGTTGGTCAACGAAAATAGGTTCTCACGCCATTTATTCTCTCTGGATTCCGTAGATCATGTGCACCAATGGTTTAGAATCAGGATTCCTCAACTACTCCAAGTGGGTCCTCCATATCCACAAACCCAATTAAAGCTCTGGTCATTCGCTTTTCATACTCTCAATCCAGTAAACAACACTCTCAACACGAGAGGGCAGTGAGTAGGATTCCCCTGGTGGTGGCTGTATACGCGTGGCCATGTGATAGCATTTCCAAAGAGAGAGAGCGGACTCTCCTCACTCTCAACTGCATCAAGACATTTCAGGGTGAAATGTGGCAACTGACCATTTCAGTGTGGAAGTGCTAGGTTGACTGAAAATTTCTCCTGTCACTAGGAGACCTAATATTTTGTGACACATCTCTGATTGAAGTGAAAATCACTTCGAATGCAGACACACTCCGTTGATGAGTTCTAAATAGGATGAAAAGTTCGTAGTGGATTCCACTGTTACCCATTATCCATCTCTCCTTATGATTCTTGTGATATTTATTCGGTATATCACCGGTTTAGTTTTAAATCGATAGTAATATTTATGTAATATTTATTCAATATTATAACCGTTTGTATTGGTTTATTGTGACATTTGCTCGGCATAATGTTTGGTTGTTTCTGTAAGATCCTGGAGCCTATGTGCACCAATAGTTGGGAATCATCGTTTTCCAACTACCCTAGATGGATCGTCGAAATCCACCAAACCGGATAGAGCAGCGGACGTTCCCCAGTCGTCGTCTCAATTTCATAAACAACCCCCCCTCCCTGCCACGAGAAGGCAGTGTATAGGACTTTCCCGACAGTGGCTGCGTACGCGTGGAGCAAAACCGAAAAAAGTGTGTGATTTTTATTTTTTCTATTACTAGTAAATTATGTCAGCTAGAGTACCGAAGAAGGTTGTTTTACCCTAACACACTTCATTAATGTTTTGCCTCCCTTAGCTATTTTCTAAAACAAAATGACAGATGGGATGATAGTCTGAAACATTCAGGTTTTATGATGAAATTTTATTATCGCTGTTACTGAACCAGGAATTAAAATTTGGCTATATTATGAGTTTGTTATATAATTATAGATACACTAAAACAACTCAATTATGCAAAGGAAGATGACACTGTACATACATATGTGAAATGATTCAGACAGTAAACAGTGATTGATTAGATAAATGATTCACCTATAATAAGTCAAGTACACTTTCATTCCTAATACTATGTGGGTTTAAGACACACAATGACATGTTTTCTCCAGTTCGTTATTTTGTCTTTCATTCTAGAAAAGTCAGTCTTCGTCTGTGGATTCATTTATCCCAGTTTAACAATTGACGTGAGTTATATTTCAAGTTAACCTACAAATGTCACTAATTCCTTACAAAACTATTTAGCCTAGAAATGATCCTCTGTTTATGAATGGCTAGTTTCGAAATGGATTATCCATAGTCGATAGCCAAAGTGTGTTGGAGTCAAAGAAACCAGATATGATCATATTTACTGATGGCAAAATGAAGCGAATTCGCTCTATCAATGTTTCAGTATGAGAAATACATAGCTAATGACCTATGTACATAGTCTGCTTTAAAGATTGTTTATCATCATAAAATGGTGAAAACCAAATCATTTTCTTTGCTTCTGTCAATAACAAAAGATTGATGAACAGATAGAACGATGACTGAACATTATGTCTTTAATGATACTTGAGAGAAATTTTCAACAAACTTTATCCAATGTTTACGGTTGTTTAACTCACTGAAAAAGTGCTCTTTATAAACGGAGCAAATATTTCAGTGATAAACGTCACCATAGAAAAGACGTTACAATGCTAGAACAATGGAGAAGTTGGACTCCTCAAAATGTCCGATTACAGTCGAAACAAGATAGAACAAATGTATTGTAACAAATGAGAAGTAATGTGCAAGGAAACAACGACTTATGTTAGTGAGAGTTTATACAGTATAACTATATTATGGCTTTAGTGCACATATTTATTGAACAGAGCAGTGTATTCTAGGATATAAGCATATTGTACTAAATTAAGTAAAGCCATGTTTTTCTTTAAATCCGTGACCAGACTAAAATCTTTTCGAAAATATAAATGACAGATATTCCATTGGATAATAATTTGAGATAAAGCCACCATGTATTTAGGAAGGGGAAAACTTTAAGTTTTTCCGAAAAAACTCAAGTAACTATTTACTGTTGTATTCACATGGTATTGTTTGCTTGTATTTTCCAATTGTCATTTAGGACTGTAATTGATCACTCTCTTGTTGACATATGTTCATCTTGTGCGGACTGCCTCGATACTGCTTTAAGTCACAAGCTTTATAAGCAACGATGGATAGTGGCTAGCAGTGGAATCCAGTTTGATGCGCGTTTCGTCCTATTTGGGACTAGTCAGCTGGATGTACCTGCATCTCAGAGTTGATGTTCACTCCGGGAGTCGAACTGGCACCGTTCACTACAAATACCATCGCGTTATCAACTTATCGACTGGTTCCTGATAGTCACTAGCTTGTGAAATAGGGTGAAGTTTAAATTCACTTATCATTGTTTGTTTGTATCATCTCATTGTTGTTGGTTTAAAACAGCAAATGAACAGTTTCTTGTTGGCATTCTTTTCTATTCTTTCGGGATTACTTTCAGTTACAAGCTTTATAAACAAAGTTGGATGGAATCTCTGAGTGAACATCAATTCTTGGATGCAGATACTTCTAGCTGATGAGTCTCAATTAGGACGAAACCTACGTCCTGAATTGCACTGTTAGCCACTATCCATCCTTGCTTACTTACAGTTTCATTTAGTCATTGTACATTACACTATTTTTCAAGTGTTACACTTTACAGATTCATTAACTATTTGACATAATTTTTGTGACATTTAATTGGGTAGTGTTTAATGCTCCTTTTTTCATAAGAACAGTAATGATAATTATATGCAATTTGATAGGAATTACTATTAATTATTATGACTTTAAACACTTTTTCCCTTTCAATAAATATAAACAAAACTTACGTTCTCGAGGAGTTCCACTACGTGAACCATTAGTTGTACGTAATCTATCAACTTCATCACCAAGATCACCAGTTAAAGCGATTGGATTACGTGTTGGTTCTACAATAAATAGTGAACATAAATGATCATGAAAGGATATAAAAACGATTTTCTCAACAGTGATTAATTGTTAGATCTAATTTTTGTTCAGGGAATAACTCACTATGAAGCTAAATCTTATACTAAAGATGCTAGGTTTGAAGCGGTTACGAGTTCACTTAGACCGCGAACGGAACAAAGACTTATGACCAAAGACCAATAAACTAGCTATTCTATTGCGTCCCAGCCCCGCTAACTAGAGAGAGGAGTCGAAATCCGAACGAGGAAGTTTATTCTGCAAAACGCTAGAAGCACGAGCGATAACAAGAGACAAAAATCAAAACGTATATATACAGCACAAAATCTTCCTTGTGAAGAGTTACAAAATAGCATACTAAAAGACACAACGGACCAATAGCGTTTAAGATTCTCCCAAATGGGAAATACGACATGAAGGTGAAATGAGCGCTTTTGGCGCGAAAACAAAGAAATTCAAATTTTCTAAATAAAATTACAAAATTAGGTCCATTTCCAAGTGAGTTCTGAGAATTTATATATATATATATATATATATATATATATATATATATATATATATATATATATATATATATATATATATATATATATATATATATTGGCTGAGGTTAGACATTGACACCGTTGAAAGCCGACTCAGCGAACTAGTGGTTAAACACTGGCACGCTGGAGTGATAGATCCTAGGTTCGAATCTCGCGAGGCGGGATCGTGGATGCGCACTGCTGAGGAGTCCAATGAAATATATATATGAAAATACAATACACTAGACATTCATGACGAGATCCTATGAAAAGAATTTAACTACATTATTGATTATTTCAGTGTGGAATCAACACAATAAGTCAACTGACGAGACTATAATTTATGAACGAACCAATCAGTTATAAGATAAGAGGTCTCGAATTTTGGCACGAAATTCACTCATCCATTTGGCTAAATAGAATTTCGGCATTATAGCTGATGTCAGTTCGTGATGAAAACCTTAAATCTAATTCCTAACCTTAAACATCAACTGTAAATCATAATTCAAATTCTCCATACTAGTTTATAATCCTCATTTAGTTCTAGTTATTAGGTGGATACTCTCAAGGTCATCCCAGTATTGCTCAAAGGTCGTCCATAAATTATAGTCTTACCAATTAACTCAGTAAGTGAAGGGATTAAGAATTTTGGAATGTAACAAACGACATTGATTGTAAACAAAAGTCTAACTTAACTAATTTAGTTCAGAAGGAATAAATGAAATCAACTGAAATAATTCCAATGTTTAACTCTTAAAAGTGTTTCAAGTCACTTCAGGACAATTGGTCGTTATAAAAATTTCAATGTTTAAAGATTAGTCAAGTATAATTTTCACATAAAAGTAGCAAAAGGTCAGTTGATAACAGGCAGAAGTGACCTGAAGGTCAAGTGCATTTGATAGGGGTCTGTGAGTCAATTTCCTAAGGATTGAGTGATATGTATGTGTTAATTTCATTCGGTAGCCCAATACACTTTCTCCTCCACTCTTATGTTCTTACTTAAGTAGTAATTTGGTGCATACCGTATATTAGTATCAGATTTCGGACCTTGCTCTGATATTACACTAAGCAATTGGTTATGCTATGGTTTATTGATTGATGTATTAACACTACTATTCAATGAAAACAACATTCTTATTGTTTCCTATTACTGTCTGAATCACTGTACACTATAAAAATGTTCAAACGGACAAAGTGTATTAAAGGCATATACATACAAACATATGTACATGCATAATTATAAATAATTTGACATTTCAGTTTATTCTATTCATTTTGATCAACAACAACAACAACAACAAACGTTTCACTTGCCAAATTAGTTTTTAGTTTTTGTATTCATCTCTCGTATTTATACTCTACCATTCAATGGACAATATTAAATGATACTAAAGAATATTATAAATTGAATTTATGACTAATAATTACAGGTAAGGAGGATAGGATTATGAAAAGTCACTTGATTTGTGTGTAGGCTGTGATACTGACCGGGTGCCCAAACCAAAGAAGGTGGTTTCCTTACGGGGTCACAACCAAATCCTTTAACCTAAAAGTATGATCAACAAGGTAGTGGGACAACGTAAGGAGATTCAGTCCCATAGTTTCCAATGACCAATAGCATGTTCAATCGGCATTCGTTCTCTCAGGATTTTGGAGCCCATGTACACTATTAGTTTGGAATCATGGTTTTCCATCTTCACTACGTTGACCCTTCGTGTACACCAACCCGGTTAAAGTTCCGGACATTCGTTTTCGTCCTGTAAACTTCGTAGACAACACCGCCACCACCGTGAGGAGGCAGTGAGTAGGACTTTCCTGACAGTGGCTGTATAAGCGTGGCCATGTGAGATCATTTCTGGAGGGAAAGCGGACACTCCCCACCCTCAGTCGTATCAAAACAGTTATAAGGGGAGATAATGTTGGCTAGAAATGGAATCCGTTTCGTTCTATTTCAGACTAGTCATCTGTATCTTACAGTTTGTCTTGACTATATGACTCAAACCCGGTACCGTTCACCTCAAAAGAAATCGCATTATTTACTTAGCTACTTAGCCCATATAGCCACTAGCTTGTGCAACGTGGTAAAGTTTGACGCAAGTACATTCGGCCGACGAGTCTCAAATGTCTTGGATTCAACTACTAACCACCATCGTCTCCACTTATAATGTTTGTAACATAGGGCGATATCGAGGCAATCCGAATAAGGTGAACATATGTCAGTAAGAAACTGATCAATTTCAAACAAGATTCAAACAACCAACACAAAATGAATTAAATTATAAATTGATAGTTGAACCATAATACAGTAATCAAAATTTATTTAGACATTCAAGATAAACGGGATCAATATTGTTTAATGTTGTAAGTGTACATTCCCGTCAAGAGTCATAGATTGATTTCATTCTTCACTGATTACCAGTCTGATAACAGAGCTTGAATTTTATAATCGAGCTGTTTGCTTTCTAGAACATAAATTTAGAAAGGATTCCTGAAATATTTGTGAGAAACAATGACTGGTGATGATTTCTACTTTCTTGATCAAAGTGGAATAAATAATACTTACACAGAATACGTTAAATTGTTTGATTCTAGATATGCGAAAATTTCAATACCGAATTAATGTTCTTCGAATAATGCTCTCTCTTAACAAGACATAAAGGAGATAGGTTCAACTAGTGGAAGGATTGTAGATCGGAAGGATTGAAAAGTCCTATATTATGATACAATAACTATCCACTGATTACAGAGTTCCTTCAACTGATTTTAATCTGTATAAGAAACTGTTTCTAAGGCACAAAAAATTGTTCAGTGTTTTCCTGATTGTTTTCTCTATCAACAAAGAATATTGATCGATTGTGTAATATAAACAAAATACAGGTCAAAAATAGTTTAATAACTTACGTTTACTCTTCTTAGTTGTATGTCCATTATTCTTACATATTGTTGCATTATCTACATCCCATGCAATTAATGTTGTGTTGAAAGCTATATGTTAAGCAAAGAGAATTTTAAAAAGTACACTGTAATTATATGAAACAATGAGGATACATTTTTCACATATAATAAAATGTACATTAGATTATCGTGTCGTTCTATGTCAGTAGATGAGATCTAGACTAAAATCATCAACAGACACTATATACAGTTGATAAGAGTGAGTTAAGACAAGAAATCAAGAAACAGCACTGAAATTGGATAGGTCACACAACTGAGTCACAAAGCAAGCCCTCACTAGGAATCCTCAAAGCCATAGGAAAAGAGGAAGACCAAAAATAAAACATTACGCCGAGAAATAGCGACAGATATGAGAAGAATGAACAACAATTGGATAGAACTAGAAAGGAAGATCCAGAATAGAGTGGGTTAGAGAATGATGGTCGGCGGCTTACGCTTCATTGGGAGTAACATGCGTAAGTAAGTAAAACAACAAATGTCCTATGAAGTGAAACCTCATGAGTTAGTAATAAATACTGATGCTGTCAGTCTTCTAATTTGATTCTAAACACTAAGAATAAATCATAAGTCATTTGTGAATCTTTGTATGTATAAGAATGGCTTACTTATATAAATTAATATGACTGCTCATTGTAAATTTGAATAGAATAGGTATCTTACATAAGTCCAAGGCTAAATTCATCTCAGGGTTGATGGAGAATCAGATCATGTTAACTGATTTTCCATGAAAAATGTGTTATACTGTCAAAACACCTTGTAATTCAAATACAAACTAAGGATAAGCTTAAAAGGTACTTTTACTCGATGGTATTTGAGTTCAAGTTCCGAAGTGAACATCAACTCTAGGATACAAGTATATCTAGCTGACCAATACCTAATTAGACGGAATACGTGTTCTGAATTCCATTGTTAGCCACATTCCATCGATTTGGAAATATTATTTGTTATTAAGTTAATCTAACTCTGAGAAATATGAATTCGTATCAGTTATTCGAAATGTCATTTCAATACAAAAATATTTGTATGGTTATGCACATTACCGTCTATACCATAAATCTGGTATGAATGTATCTCAGCTGGAGTTGTTATACCACCTCAGAGCAGTAATGGAACACTAATATAGTCGAAATAATGATGATATGAATGACAATAAAACAGATCAAACATAGAACATCTGATTGAGATCATGAACCGATTAATGTTAGACAACCGTTGTAAACCTGGAAGCACTGGACGGCCGTTTCGTCCTATTGTGGGACTCCTCAGCAGTGCGCATCCGCGATCTCGAGTGCGAATGCCTAACCTATTGGACCACTGAGCCGGCATCCAATGGTGTTAGTGTCTAATATCAACCAATCCACGAAATTGAGTGACCATCTTCCATTGTACTGAGGTAGATACCTGTCTCTACCAGACACAGATTAGCTCCATTGGTCACGGCTTCTCACTAGAACTTCGAGAATTCCCTAACGAAGCTGGTCACTAGTGAGCACATGTTAAATACCAGTACAGGGGTTGTGGAGATCATTAAGTTTTTGGTTGACATCACTGCTGAGGAGTCCCACAATAGGACGAAATGGACATCCAGTACTTTCAGGTTTTCAATGGTGGTCTAACATTAATTGGTTCATGATCTTAATCAATAAGTTAGTAATCTCCACAACCCTTATGCTGATAGAACATCTGGTTAAAAAGGATGAAACGAAATAACTGGATGAAAGTATAGAACAATTTAGAAATTCAGAGTTCAGTATAAACACAAACAATGAGTTGATCTATTCTAATGCATATGATATTGATCTTTGTCACATTGAACTTTCAGTAATCGATTATGAAAATTACTCCAATTAGGTTGTTAATATATGTCCTGATAATCAGTAAGTTCATGATGTCTTATTGTGGTATGAGCTACTTATATCGACATAAGTAGTATATAACGATAGTCAGGGACATAATGTCTGGCAGTAGGAGGTCAAGAAGATTGAGGAGGAAAGAACGGAACTGAAATCAGTTGGTATAGAAATGCAGGGACATTGAAGTTTGAGACGATTGACTGATATTTGTAAAAGGAACAGTCAAGTTTGTGACAATTGATTGACATATTGCAAATGAAGTATTTACTGTAGAATTCTCAGATTTTACTAAGATATTCTTTAATTTTGTGTTCAGACACATTCGGTTGTCCCCACTGATGTTCTCGTTCAGTACATTTTATTCTTCTAACCTAATCTTACATTATTCACTTGGTGTTGTTTTACTTGTATCTTCCCATTGTTATTTAGGACTGCAAATGATCAGTCTCTTATTGACATACGTGTATCCTGTACGGACTGCCTTAATATAACCATAAGTCGCAAACTTTTTAAGCAAAGATGAATAATGAATAGCAGTGGAATTCAGTTTGACGCGAATTTTGTCCTATTTTGGACTCGTCAGCTCGATTTACCTGCATCACAGAGATGATGTTCACTTCAGGACTTGAAACCAGTAATCTTATATCAGTTAACAATGTGTATCAAACTACACAGTAATTGGACTCATGCAACACTCTTCCTAATCAATTTAGTAAACAAAATCTCAGTTTGTAATAGATGAGAGCAATGTTTTAAAGAAACATCTTTGAATAATTAATAATCACCTATGAATTTCAATAACTATTAAACGCCATGTTATATTCCAAGTTATCTAATTATCAAGTTTTGTAGGTATATGAGAGAAACTTATGATATAACTGAATCATTGTTTCATCGATCTCGACTCTGCAGACAAACACTTTGTAAATGTGAATTTTTAGTTGAACGTCACCAACTTTAGACTTCCATGAAATATAAATAAATAATTTCAACAGTTGAGATCATGAGACAATTGAAGCTAGACAACCATGGAAAACCTGGGAGCACTGGACAGCCGTTTCGTCCTAGTATGAGACTTCTCAGCAGTTTGTGTACACGATCCCGCTTAGTGAGATTCAAACCTAGAACCTATCAGTCTCGCGCGCGAATACTTAACCATTAGACCACTGAACCTGCATCCAATGGTGTTAATTTCTAACTTCAACTAATCCACGAAATTGAGTGACACATCTACCATTGCCATCAGTGAGTTACAACGTCACAACAGACCCAGTTGAACTCCACTGGTCACTGCTTCTCACTAGAACTCGAGGAAATATCTCTTGAATCCAGTCACTAGTGAGCATATATTGATTAGTATCAGAATTTATCGATATAAACATTTGTGGAGATTGGGTTTAAATCCTTCATGTGAGATCATCAATGCACTTTGTTGACGAATCTCATACTAAGGCAAAAACCTGCCCAGTGATTCTAGATTTTCAAAAGTAGTCTAACTTAGATTAACAACTATAATTCTATCCACTTTAAAACTTAGAATTTAATGATTCACCTTATTTTAACTGACAGAAGAAAAGAGGACATTTTCCCATTGACATTTATATCAATATGTCATTATTTATGAATCTATACTTATTTAACTCCTAGACAAATATAATTGTTTATCTTCATCAAATGTATATAGATTGTTTGTTTTAAAAAACAATTTTCTTTTGAATTTATCGATTATTCTATGCTGTGTGCTACTGATGTCGATAGATATAAGTAGTATATGTAACACAAATTGAAAGTGAAATGCTCGTCGGCAGCAGAAGGTTAAAAAGATAGAAGAAAAGTGAACCAGAACAGAGAATAATTTCTGTGGAAATGAAGGGACAGTGAAGTCTAGGACAATTGACTGATCTATTGTAAATGAAGCACTTACTGTATGGATCTCAGATTTTACCAGGATATTCTGTAATTTTATATTGAAATACATTCGGATTTACCCACTTTTGTTCTTGTTCAACTAACATCCGTTAGATTGATTAGAAAAAACTGGACAGTTTACAACAATTTCAAAGGAGGTAAACCTAATAGCTTTTGATATTATTCCATGTTTAGGGAATAAATAATAAACAATTTTAATAGTTGACTCATAGAGTCAATTGAAGTTAGACAACCATGAAAAACCTGAAAGCACTGAACAGCCGTTTCATCCTATTGTGGGACTCATCAGCAGTGTGCATCCACAATCTCGGTTCACGAGATTCGAAGTCGTCCAGTGCTTCCATGTTTTCCATGGCGGTTTAACTTCAATTGACTCATGAATTCAACTATTAATATTACTATAATCTCCACAAAAACCCCTTCTGATAATAAACAATAAACAGTTGTGTTATTATTATTATTATTATTGTTTTCTTTATTCAATACAGCTGAAACTACTTTAAATTGTAAATAGAAAAATAAACATTTCACTTTTCCCGCCAAAAAATTGTTTATTTTATTTGTGTATTTTTTGTTGTTGTTTGTTTGTTTTTCTTTTTTTTTGGTATTGACATTCTATATTCAGTATAGTAACTAATGTCTAATGTCAATCAAATTGAAGTTAACTTAGCAATATATATATAGAACTATATTAATTCATGTAATAATTGATATGATATAGTAATCATTAAACAATCTAATGACCTATTCAGTAGTACTTGTATTAATGTATAGTGGAATTCATAAGTTCATTAAAGCTACACCGTCATGAAAACCTTGGAAGAAGCACTGGATAACCGTTTCGTCCTAGTGTGGGACTCCTCAGTAATGTGTATCCACGATCCTGCACATAGGATCATCCAAACCTAGGACTTTTGGACTTATGAACGAACGCTTAACCTCTAGATCACTGAGCCGGTATCCGACAGTGGCATTGTCTAACTTTAACCAATCTACAAAATTGCGCCACCGTCCACCATTGTCTTCAATGAGTTATTATCTCACAACAGATCTGGTTGAACTCCCGAGAGCGCGATTGCGAATGAACATTGCTGAAGTGTCTTATACTAGGACAAAACGGCAGTCCAGTGCTTCTAGGTTTTTATGGTGGTCTAACTTCAATTGATCCATCACATTTTAAGATAGTAGATCTTGGTTTTTGGTGCGAAATTCATTTACTCATCTATTTAAATAGAGTTTTAACATTTTTAGATGATATCATTTCGTGATCCCACGAGGCGGGGTTGTGGATGGACATTGTTGAGAAGTTCTACAATAGGACGAAATGGCCATCCATTTCTATCAGGTTTTCCATGGTGATCTAACTTCAATTGACTCATGATCTTAACTATTGACATTAAATCTAATTTCTAAATCTAACTAGCAAACGTAAATCATAATTCGAATTCCTCACACTAATATATAACCCTCATTTAATCATAGTAACTAGGTGGATACTCTTGAAGCCAGTTTAACATTTTACAGGTGTCTTAAACTTATGTTACTGAAACTGAATGATCACTAATAACTATTGAAGAAACATTTTTTTGTTTGTAAATTTGTTTAAATAATTGGAAGTTATAAAACGGATGTTGAATGTTATTTCTTGAAAATTCTTTGTTGTATCCAAGGGATATGTTTAGTGTAAGAAACTGATAGAGTTGTGAATATTAGAACGGTGAAGAACAAGCAAGAAAGATTGATAAGTTATTAACCAACAGTAACCTTTCAAAATAAACTAGAATATTACATAATAGATTAGTCATTTAAGAATAAATATCTGAAATCAAGCATCAAATGACTCGTGATCTCAACTATCAAATTACTATAATATCCACAAAACACCTAACTGATTATAATTATCGTATGCTCACTAGTGACAGTCTCTAAGAGATACTTCCTCGAGTTCTAGTGAGAAGCAGTGACCAGTGAAGTTCAACTGGGTCTGTTGTGAGATATTAACTCATTGAAGACAATGGGGAATATGTCGCTCAATATCATGGGTTAGTTGAAGTCAAATATTTACACAGTTGGATGACGTTCAGTGGTCTATAAGTTAAGTATTCGCGCGCGAGACTGATAGGTCCTGGGCTTGAATATCACTAAGCGGGATCGTGTACATACACTACTGAGAAGTCACATACTAGGATGAAACGTCCGTCCAGTGTTTCCAAGTTGTCCACGGTGGTCTAAATTCAATCGACTCATGGATTCAACTATTAAAATAAAGATCTCCTGGAACGATTTATGTATTTTTGATGCCATAACATCGATCCATCATAACTTCAATTTAAATGATTTATATAAGGATTAATCACTAATTTAGAAATGAACAATTCTAAAGATGAATATTAAGTGGAGAAACTCTATGAAATGAATTGATAATTGTCAGCCTGCTTGAATATCTGGACTAAATGTCCTTACCATCTAGATATTTCAACAAGTTGTGAAGTGTTTACGACCTTTCGCTGTATAACATCAGAGACATTGTGATTATCAGTAGACATTATGCAATGAAAAGAATGAAGATTATTCAGATGTCAATTCCTCGATTCCTAACATCTAGATTAAAGTTGACATGAAAAGATAACCGGAATTTAACCAAATTAGATAGTGTAGATTTTCGATAGTACATATTCTGTTGTATAATAGACGAAGGGGAATTTCTTTGATCTAAAGCATTATCTTACACATACACCTATACGTTCTTATGCTTTATCAAGTATTCTACATGTACTTTGGTCTATATTCAATTCAACAATATAAAAACAAATGATAGCGACCCTCATTAGCTACTTTATGATTCTTCACAAAACAATGGAAACGGTATTTAGAAGAGTTATTTTATATTAAAGAAAACAGTTATTGTAAGTTACTTACCCGGTCTACCAGTTGAAGCATTTCTTGTACGTCCAAGTTCAACATGTTCTTTTGGTAATGCTCCAAGACCGGTAATTGGATCTCTTTGAACTGCTGTAATAAAATTAATTTATATCTTGATTTACTGATGCATAGTTCTCATGATGAATATATATCAAGGAATTTACTTGTATTGAGTGTACATCGGAATGTATTCACCCCTTTGTATTAGAAAAATAATTATGAGGCTTCCATCAAATTTCTAGCTCTATCTGTTTGTTACCCGTCGTAGTGGAGCATCGTCCGCTCACCACCATTCTCTGCCTGCAGCTCTTCTAGGGTTATTGCTGGTCCCAAACCCAGGTTAAAGAGGAGGGTCTGGTGTGAGATCGACAACTCAGTCTAATAGAAAACAACCTTGCCAAAAAACGTTAGCCAGAATAAACAAATTGCCACCTACCGGATGATAAACTTTTGTTTAAAATAGTAACTACTAAATTTGAGTCTTATTGTGAATATAAACACTTTACTGTGAATCTATTCTACATACGGTTTTTTAAGAGAACTGAGTACATATGCTGGATCCCACTGTTAGCCATAGTTCAAGAACTTTCGGATCAAAGATCACTAGATAGATATTTCCTTGTACTTTCAGATATCTGAGCAATTTACTCCGTGTATAGGCTCCAGAATGACCAAATCAACATTAAGGGTTGTAGTATATACCCATATTGACTGACATCTCTCTACAGACTACACCATCTTAGATTACCTTTGTAAAATCCATTATGGAGCTAATCAGCATTGTTTGAAATAATTTGTATGATTATGTATTTCAATTGCACAATCAATTAAGATGAAGGACTTTTACACAGATTCGCAAATTTTTATTCGCTACTGATTGATCGTAGTTGAGGCTCATTGAAACCGTAGTGTTGGACAACTACTTTATCTTAGTATATGACTCATTAACTTCAAAATGTTTTTTGAGTTCTACTGAGAAGTCATGACTGGCGTAGTTCAGACATGTTGGGAAGGAAATAGTTGTTACTAATGATATTGAATGAATACCGTGAATCTTTTAAAGTTATGGACTCATACTATTAGATGTTTACCCGATAGCGTTCATGGTATGCGACGAGTCTGTTAAATAACTGTTTGATCTGATTTCTGAGACGCTAAATCTAAACGGTGAACTGAACGCAAAAGAATTGGCTCAAAATAAAAAATGAGCACTTCACTCCAAAGTTAGTATATTCATAGTTACACACGACTCTGAGCTTCTAAAAGTTCAAAAAACCATACTAAACAAAGTGGCTGTATACATTAATAACCAATCAGAAACATCATACGTGACCTTAATTTTTAGATGCTTCTGGGAGGCATCCATTCAACTTTCATTGGATAAGGTGTTTCCAAGCATTTTCTGTGTCCCTACAAACATTTATGATAAATACTTTGGAACTACCTAAAAGTAAAACGTTAACCACAAGCACCTCATTGTTCACTTTTGAGATTGCACTTATAAACTACTGAGGATTCCTATCATACTTAAAAACAACTAACTGTCGAATGGTCCTCAGTTTTCAACCCAATCACATAACAGATTATTAATTTACTACTGACTAATTGAAAATAACAATGTACATAGTATAAATGAGTAAGATATTGTTAACTGTTTTGAAACCTTTCAAACCAATCAATCTTTATCAATACCATGAACTGTACACTGAGAAAAGGCGTTGTGATTCAAATGCAATAATCTTAAAATTAGTGATCTGAAACTAAAAATCATAACAATGAACAGTATACAAGGGATACAACAAAAGCATACTGAAATATATTGAACATTTAATACATGCAAAGCAAAATTCATTTCTAATTAACAGTTGATCAGTATTTGTTATGGAACAAATGAAAATAATATCAGAAAAGGGTTTTGTGGATATTATAATAATTTCAATAGTTGAGATCATGAGACAATTGAAGTTAGACTACCATAGAACAACCTGGTATAACTGGACGGCTATTTCTTTCTATTGTGAAACCCCTCAACAGTGAGCATCCACGATCCCATACGTGGGATCACTTGAACACAGGACTTACCGGTCTCGTGAGCGAACGCTTAGACACTAGACCACGTAGCCGGCATCCAATGGTGTCAGTGTTTAACTTCAACTAATTCATGATATTGAGCGATACATCCATCATTGTCTTCAATGAGTTACTATCTCACAGCTGACCAGGTTGAACTCCACTGGTCACTGCTTCTCACCAGAACTCCAGGAAATACCTCTTGAAACCAGTCACTAGAGAGCATATTCATAGGAAGAAACGACCATCCAGTGCTTCCAGATTTTCCACTCAATTGATAATTACTAGAGATGGTTGGTGACTAGCAGTGGAATCCAGAAAGCGCGTCTCTTCCTATTCTGGATACATCAGCTGGATGTACCTGCATCCCAGAGTGGATGTTCACTTCGAGACTCGAATTCGGTTTCGTTCGCTTTAAACACCATCGCGTTTTCCACTTAGCTGCTGAGTCTAGATAGCCACTGGCGTGTGCGCTTGGATGGAAAATACGATGCCATTTGTAGCAAACGATACTGGATTTGAGTCCTATGGTGAACATCAACTCTGAGATGCAGGTACATCTAGCTAACGAGTCTCGAAATAGGACGAGACGCGCGTCAAATTGTATTCTACTGCTATCTACCATCATCTCCACTTAAAACGCTGGTGACTTAAGGCAATATCAAAGCAATCTGAACAGCGTGAATATATGTCAATAAGAAACTGATCAATCGAAGTCCTGCATATCAATGAGAAGATTCAAACAACCAATGCAAAAACGGATCATTACTAAGGTTAATTATAGAGCTGAAAATTGAACTTAAACAGGGAGAAAATGAGATTGTACAACCCAATAGAGAAGACAAAAACTTTTGTCATATGTAAATTTTATTCACCATGCAAAAACACGGCAACAGAGTATGAATCAAATACACCCATTACTGTACAAATTTTACTAAGAATGAATGGTTAGTCAGAAAACATGATACATATTTCAATTATTAAGAAAATAAATGGATTTTACACTGATTGTGTACAACCAAATATTACGCCGAGTAAATGTCACACTAAATCAATACAAACGGTTATAATATTGAATAAATATTACATAAACATTACTATCAATTTAAAACTAAACCAGTGATATACCGAATAAATATCACAAGAATCATAAGGAGAGATGGATAATGGCTAGCAGTGGAATCCACTACGAACTTTTCATCCTATTTAGAACTCATCAACGGAGTGTGTCTGCATTCGAAGTGATTTTCACTTCAATCTGAGATGCGTCACAAAATATTAGGTCTCCTAGTGACAGGACAAATTTTCAGTCAACCCAGCACTTCCACACTGCAATGGTCAGTTGCCACATTTCACCCTCAAATGTCCTGATGCAATGCAGAGTGAGGAGAGTCCGCTCTCTCTCTCTCCCTTTCTGCAAACGCTATCACATGGCCACGCGTATACAGCCACTACTAGGGAAATCCTACTCACTGCATTTCCGTGTTGAGGGTGTTGTTTACTGGATTGAGAGTATGAAAAGCGAATGACCCAAGAGAACAAATAGCGTAAGAACCTATTCTCGTTGACCAACAACCATGAGAGTGTATCTCCTGATTTTATCTCATGTACTTGTGGATTAAACCTTGAAGTCATATGCTTGTGGAGTGTATTCCTAAGAAAACCACGTGCTTCAGTTTGGGTGCACGGGTAGTATCCCGGCCCTGACGTAAATTGAATGATTTATGTAACGCATAGCTATTTCGTACCTCCTTGTACCAATATTTATGTGTTTAAATAAATAAATAAAATAAAATAGACAGAAGAAAAAAATCGATAATTGACTTCCTCAATCGATAATATTCCTCCTCGAGTGTTTTTTTTCTTTAAAAAAGTAATACCAGTCTTGGATAAATCGATACTGATTATTGATCGATTATAATCAAGTATAAAATGTCAAAATGTATTTTTATAAATTATAGTCCAATCGATTTTCCACATCCTACCCTTTATGGGAAATCAAAGGCTATAAGGGAAAACTGGTATTTAGATTTATATTGACTGATTATTGATTGTCTAGTTCTTAATGATGATCAAAATTTTATTAATGAAGTTGTAATTTTAGGTGTATACTACATATGTTGACACATTACTCCGAGATATAGAGACAGACATAATAAGAATGAACTACAATTGGAAAGAACTAGAAAGGAAGATCCAGAACAGAGTGGGTTGAAGAATGCTGATCGGCAGCCTATACTCCATTTGGAGTAACAGGCGAAGTAAGGAAGTACTTATGTTGATAGACATAAGTAGTATATAGCATCAGTCAAAAGTGAAACGTTTGGCAGCAGAAGATTGAAAAGTTCGAATTGAAAAGAATAGGAACAGAGGGTAATTATAATAGTAATGAAAGAATGATGAAGATCGAGACAATTGATGAAGGATTTACAAATGAAGTACTGGATGTATGGTTTTTAACGATTTGTGAAAGAACACAGGAATTCTGTATTGAAGTATTATTAGTTGTCGCAGTCCAAATGACTCAACACGACAGTATACAATTTAAATGGATGAATAGAAGCATGATTTGCTGGTAAGTAAGATGGTTCTAAAAAGAAAACTTGAATTAAATTTATGTTCATAAGTCTAGGTATATACGTGGTGTATAGCAGGTAACACTATTCAGAAGTGGAATGCCTGGCAGTAGAAGATTAAGAAGATCGAGTCAAAGAAAACAGAAAAAGAAATACAAAGGAATTGTGAATTGAAAGAACAATAGTTGAAAGATTCACAAATGTAGTATTTAATGTATGGTTCTTATATTTTACGAAGATATTCTGTAATAATAAATTGATCGTCCCCATCTAAGTGTTCGTTCATTACACTATCAGATTAAAAGTTTGAAAAGAACAGTAACAAAGTTGAAATTCAGTTTCAAGATCTCTAAATCATGTGAAACAGTCCTACTGTATGGAACTGAAACGTGGAGAACTACTACAATCATCATCCAAAAAAATGCACAAGTATTTGTAAACAATTGTCTACACAAGATACTCAACGTCCGTTGGCCGGAAAACATCACCAACGACCTACTATAGTGAAGAAAAAACCAGCTTCCTACTGAGAAGGAAGTTAGGATAAGACAATAGATAAGATTAGGACTTACGTTGCAGAAAGCATCAAACTGCATCACGAAACAAGCTTTAGCTTAGAATCCTGAAGGAAAACGGAAAAGAGGAATGCCAAATAACACACTGCATTGGGCATTGGAAGTAGACATGGAAAGGTTGAATAGCAACTGGAAAGAGCTGGAAAGAATCGTCAACAACAGAGTTGAATGGTAAATGTTGATGGGTGGCCTATGTTCCTCGATAGAGGGTAACAGGCGTAGGTAAGTAAATAAGGAAGTAAGTCATTTAGAATATTTATGTCAAATCGGTGAATTTAGTCTTGCATAAATTCATACCCATTCTTATCACTATATACATATACAACTAAGTGTTATTTCATTCAGGTCATTTAACCATAGTTATACATGAGTAGAGATCAAGTAAAACAGGCAGAAAGTTCATTTCCCTTAGTAAACTAATTTCTATAATTGAAATGTTAACTGATAAAAAAATTTTCACAAATTTTGTTACTGAGTTATTTGTTTGTTTGTTTTTTGATCATTCACGTTAACACCCCATTAGTAAAGAATATTTATAGACAATACATTACTAATTGACACAATTAATCATGTATATATCCTGTCTACCATTTATATAGAGATGCTTTATGATGGTGGTGAAGATTTGAAGCTTACGTGAATGATTTTGTTGAAGTTTTTGTTCTCTGAGCTAAACATCATCAGCACAAACTTCAAGTAGTTTAAAGTTTGTGCTGATGATGTTGTTCAGAATGACGATGAAAGCTCCACGACAAATCTATCCATCTCAGAGAACAAAACTCCATCAAAGATGTTTTGTTTCAATATGAAATTCTCCAGAGAATAATACTAGGATGTATTAGAGCACACCAGAACTAGATGGTTAAATGTAAACAGGTGATTAGGCTCTGTAACTGATATTTCAATAATTCAAAGAATCTTGTCATGGGATCTAAACCTTAATCACCCAGCTTTATAATCTGAGACATTATCGCTGAAATTCTTTAGTCTCGATCGGCCTCATGTATAGATGAAACGTTAACAATTGACTTATCACTCACTAATGACCAATGTGACGTTCATATAGTCTTTTAGTACTGTTTTGCATCCTATCTATTAAGTTTCAATGTGACGACTTATTTAAATGACTCCAAATCGCATACGTTATACTGACGAAGGCCAGCTACCACAAAAACAAAAATTCAGGACTTCCTGCAGCCTACCTTTAGGCATCAGACATTGAGTGAATCTGATTAGAAAACAGTTAAGAAGCCATAGAGTATTAAAGAATTCTTTAATTCTATCATGAAAATCCATAATGTGCTACTATAATTCGTCTCGGAATCAATATCAGAAAGTTTGGGGCATATTTATTTATCTGAAAACACAAATATTGGTAAAAAGAGGCACTACATACATATGCACCACACGAATTCCATCTTATTTGTGTGATGGCTAGGATATCGCTCGGGTGCTCAGACAGAAATAGACGGTTTTCGTAGGTAACCACACCCGTAGCCTTCAACCTAAAGGTCTGATCCACAAGGCGGTGGAGTAATGTCAGAAAATTCAGCCTCATGTTAGCCAGTGACCATCGATTAGTTCATACGCCATTTGTTTTCTTAGGATCCTGGAGCCCATGTGTACCATTGCTTCAGAATCGAAGTTTTCCAACCCCCATAGGTGGATCCTCAATATCCGTCAACCCGGTTAAAGCTCCAGACATTCGCTTTTCGTCCTCTCAACTTTGTAAACAACACCCCCATAGAGAAAAGACAGTGAGTAAGACTGTCCTGGTGGTGGTTGTATATGCGTGGCCATGTGAGAGCATTTGGAGGGGGAGAGCTAACTTTCCCAAATCTCTCCTGTACCAGGACATTTAGGGGTTTATACAAAATAACTTACATTTCATTAATAATTTAAGATCTTGAATAAAACAAAGTTTGCACATAAAATATGAACATTGAAACTTCATCTTTAATTTTAAATAGAACACCTTTTTCTTTTCCTTTAATCAACCTCATGTAAACTAAATAAATTCGGTCATAAAACAGAAGTATTAATGAAGAGCTCACAGTTAAATCAAAAAAGATAAATCACTTCTTTACAAACAGTTTGATTGCTTTGTATTTGAAATACATTAGTTTCTATGGATTAAATATTTTCAAAAGGGGAGGAAGGGGGTAAGTTAAATAGATGGTAATGATCATAATCATGATCATCATGATGATCAGTCAAATAAGATCTGTATATAAAACAGTTTGACAGAATGAACTATTAAAATCTTCTTTTTTTTAAATGATAAGTGAATTGATCAAGGTTAATTTATCAGTTACTTAAGACTTCGATTTTATAATGGGCAAATTACTTTTAGTTCAATGATTTGAGATCCAGTTTGTGATATTCCTCTATTTTTAGTCACTATCATATTTGATGTCTAATATTTACTCAAGATGGTGGTTGGAAGTAGTCAGTAGGAAACACTGAACTCAGGTTTTGTGCTACTTGGCACTTGTCAGCAAGGTGTATCTGTATTATTCTTGAGGAAACTGATATTCTCTGACGGATTCAATCCCATTTCACCCAGCTTGAAAGTTAGAGACGTTATCATTGAGTTATCCATCATCCACCATCTTATTTCATCATAGTGCACGCAATGTCGAGTCACCTAGACTAGTGATCACATTGTAAATTGGTCGATAGGATTCGACCTGCACTAAGAAGGACTTGACACACATGACACAGATCACCACCCAGTGATCAATCGATTGCGAATATTTACTCATGTTTGGATATAAAGTAACTTTCCTTTCAGAATGGATCTAGAGTTTAAGTAGAAGTCATGACTAGTGGAGCTCAGCTCATATCGAAATTCAGAAAAATACGATAAAAGTTAATGAATGAAACTCAGTTATTATCATGAATTGACTAAAATAAGAAATGTGAATCGTGTTATTACAGTTCATTTGTGTAATAGTTAATATCTCACTGTATTCATCAAGAATGGGCATTGTTGAAAAGTTCTACACTGTTTACAGGTTCCTAGATTTCAGCGATTACCTAAACAAAGTCACTGTAAGTTAGTATGCTCGTATCGTTAAAGATGAAATTCTGAACCTAAGTTTGATGCTATTTGACATTCTTCAGCAAGCTGTGCAACCAAGGAAAACCAATTCCTCAAGATTAAAAGTACACCTTGCTGACGAATGTCGAATAATAGGTCCCGAATTCCTTGTTGACTATCACTGACCACGGAATATCGGATTATGTGGTCACATTTAAATTTGTTATTAGAAGGGGATTGTGGATATTATAGTAATTTTAATGGTTGACATCATGAGTTAATTGAAGCTAGACCACCAAGAGGTATATCCTGAAGTTCTAGTGGAAAGCAGTGATCAGTGGAGTTCAACCACATCTGTTGTGAGATAGTAACTCACGGAAGACAATGGTGAATGGTAGCGCAATTTTGTGGATTGCTTGAAGTTAGACACTAACACCATTGAATACAGGCTCAGTCGTCTAGAGGTTAAGCATTCGCGTGCGAGAATGATAGGTCCTGGGTTTGAATCTAGCGAGGCAGGATCGTGGATACGCACTACTGAGGAGTTCCACAATAAGACGAAATGGCCGTCCAGTGGTTCCACATTTTCCATGATAGTCTAGCTTCATTTGACTCATGATCTCAACCAATAAAATTACATTTAAATTTAATCAATAAGATCCGATTAACACTTAAAACAAAACCTAAACAAACATATCATTGATCATTATTTAGTACCCAATCAATTATTAAAATCAATATATAATACAAATTAATCAATTGTCTAATTTATTGATTATCGAATTCAATTAGTCAATAATTTAAGGGAAAATAAATCACATTTTTTGTCTATCGATCTAGAATTATAATGAATCAAATTCAGAGGAAAAGCGTATGCATTATTACATAATCAATATATACATCTACATGCAATAATTTACATACGAATGCATGCATACACGCAAATTGAGGACAAAATAGGGTTCGTGAGCATTAATTCTTAATATTAGTAGTATTACTAGTAGTATTGGTAGTAGTAGTAGTAGTAGTGGTAGTGGTAGTAGTAGTAGTGGTAGTAGTAGTGCTAGTAGTAGTAGTAGTAGTAGTAGTAGTAGTAGTGGTAGTAGTAGTAGTGGTAATAGTAGTATATGTAATAGTAGTAGTAATTACTCACTGCGATGTTTTAAACCAGTTTCGATATCCACATGTGGTAAATGTTTTTTCAAGAATTCAATATCATTGCCATTATTCAAGACATCATCACATTTCGAACCATTATCGACATTGACTTTATGATTTGTTTTGTTTATTGTATAAAAGAAAGATTGTTTTTTAAAAGAATAATTGATCAGTTTCTTATATAGTCAGTAAAATTTATTAATTCTGAAAGTAGCTGACTCTAAAATACTTTTATGATTAGTAAATATATAGATTGATATGATGAAGCGATCAATGTTAGACTACGATTGAAAACCTAGAAGTGCTCAATGGTCATTTCGTCCTAGTAAGGAACTCGTGAATAGAACTCATCCACAATACTACATGTGGGACTCGAACCCAGGACATTTGGTCTACAATAATCTGATGTGATGGAAGGGAAAGTCAATTTTCGATTGAATTATAAGTTTTATTCAACATTCAACATCCGTTTTGATTCAACGTGAGGATCATTCAGTGTAGTAATTGATTTGTTTTCCCAGTATGATATTTTCCTCTGTATAATATACGATATTCTTGTATTCCATTGACATGAACTATGCTTAGTAAGTGATTTGCTATAACTGAGTATGTGATTTAATCCTAATTATTAATCAAAATGGGTGTACAATCAATATATAAATGAGTGTATTTGAGACCAGATTCGATTCGTCGTCGTCATAGTGTTTGCGGTTAATAAATCTTCACTTATACCAGTCTTTGTGTTCTTATTTTCGCATCGTGAAAATTGCAGAGGTTCCTCGTTTCGAGTATAAGTGATCAGCGATTTTTTTCTCGGCACAGCAATCAGCGACGACCAAATAAAACATAATGACGACTCAAAGATATTTGAATATCTACTATTCATTTTAAAGAAAGATATTTATTTTAGGATTAAATGATTGTAATTTGAATAGCAATGTGTCACTTATACTGACTGTAACCATTTTGTTTCTGTTGTGTGAAGATAGAATTCGTTTGCTGTTGATACATCATGGTACAGTATATTAATTAGCAAGAAACTTCTGAATGACTGCCTTCAGCCATATGTATACATATATCACATAAATTTCACACAAGATTAGGTAAAAAATTTTCAGTCAGTTAATGTAGTGGTTGGAAGTATGCTCAACCATCACTTACACTGCAGTATTCCGTGAAGTCAATAACTATTGAATGAATAACACTGATGATATATGTAAGGTCTGCTATACATTAGTCATGAAGTGTAGTCTACAGATTGATGATTGTAACGCAGAAGCGTTTACTTGAATAAATAGTTGTGTTTGTGCTACATATACGAATATATATAAGTAGTATACCTGAAGAAATACGATTCTTACTGTCAGTAGAAGAGAATGAAGAGAAGAGAGGAGAAGGAAAGAAACGAAGGTATTCGAAAAAGCAACAGTAAAGAAAGAACAATAGGGTTTGTAAGTGATAATTTAAGGAAGATGTACATATGGTGTATTCAATGTATTGTTTCCCATTTTAGTCTTCATTCGTTACATTTGATACTATGATTACTTCGAGTCACCTAACTTTCGTCCATTATCACTCTATTGATATCTAATATGGTAATGAAAACTGATAAACATGTATGCTACATATGAAATTGTCTATAATACATATATATCAAACTGCATAAACATATAACACGTCGATCTGTTACTATCCAACAAGTAAGTAAGACTTACCTGATTGTGTTGTAGGTGAAGGCATATTTTATCATCCAATTTACAAATGAATTACTTCAAGATGTATATTTATAGAGACGATATAACTAAAATATACCAAAAAAAAACAAAATACTGTACAGTTAATTCAATAAAACCTTTAACCAATTTGTTCTTTATTACCATAATAAACGATGTAATAATACCTTCTAGATCGTTCATAAATCGTTTCAATCCCTATGTGCTCACTAGTAACTAGCTTCAAGATGAATTTCCTGAAGTTCTAATGAAAAGCCTTGGTCAATAGAGTCCAATCCATGTCAAGTAGAGACAGATATCTACCTCAGATGTTCAATGAACGGTTTCACAAGATAATGTATCGACTGAAGTTAGATATGAACACCCTTAAATACCGGCTCAGTGGTCTACGATGTTAAGCATTCGTGCTGAAGATCAAAGGCCCTGGATTCGAGTAACCCCACGTGCGGGATCGTGGCTGTGTTCTGTTGAGGAGTACTGTTTTAAGACGAAACGGAAGTCCAGTGCTTCCAAGTCTTCAATAATGGTCTACCTTGAATCAACTCATGAATTCAACTACTAAATAAGGAATATTTCTTGACTAGTTTCCAAATGAACTGAGAGAATCGATTTGTTTAAGTATATATGAAGATATTTACCTAATATCAAAGAAGTTTGTCATCAGAGACTAAACATAAGAAGGATTGGATAGAAATGTTTGCTGTCCTTTCAGCAATAGCATCAATATACTTCAATAGTTCTGCTATTGAGAACGAATAAAATAGTCTGTTTACTTAAATTTAATTTCTAACTAAAGTTCAAAATGAGAGTGTAAAAAACATAAAGCATTGAACACCTATATCGTCAAATTATGGGACTGTTTATAAGTGATCTGCCATAACCTCACCGGAGAACGAATTCAGTATTTTCACGTCTTGTTGAGAGTGCTTAACCTTTTGACCAATAAATAGGTGTACAATAGTTTATATTCTTACCTTCAGTTAACTTGCTATATTGAGTAACTATCTTCCCCTGGTTACCGCTTCTTACTAGAACTCTTGCAATTACCTCCAGTAATCAGTCACCAGTGAACACATGATGACATTTCATGATTATGTCGTTAGTTCGCTAAGCATTTGATTATAAAAGATTAATTTTAGCGTTAAGAAGATTAGCTAATGCTCAACTTATTAATGAGTCTTATATTAGAACAAAACAATTTTTGATTAAAATCAGATCTCTCAATACTATCACAATATCTTAATCAAGCTGAATAAAATCAAGATTTTTGAACAATTTACCATAAATCATCATCCAGTTGGTTGCATAATACACGTATACGTTTATTACATACTACTGAAGTCACTGACATGTTTCATATCACAATGAATAATTACGTTCATAAGATATTCATACAATCAATGAGACTTAGCTGTCCTGTAGTAAACGAACACTCAGATAAGAAGACTCAGAGCACTTTCATAAAATATGAAAACCCTACATTAAATACATTATTTGCATATATTCTTTCAATTGTCCTTTACATTCATCAGGACTTATACAATTCTACTGTTATTATAATTTCTTTCTGCTTCCCTTTCTGTTCTTTTTGATTGAATCTTCTTAATCTTCTACTGACATTCATTCCACTTTCGATTGGTGTTACATACAACTTATATCTGTCAACAGAAGGAAGGTAAACCACAGGCCACCAGTTCAGCCCATAGTTTCATAAGTTGATATGGCTGAGACACGTGTTACGTATGCCAAACGACCGACTGCTTCGACTTGCGATGTTCAGTGGTATAGGAGTAGGTTGGAAGAAAGCTAGGGGCGGCCAGACCAAAACATGGCACAAGTCCATGAAGTCACTGACAAGTGGACTGAGTCATGTTGATAGGTGTAGACTACCTGGTTGTGGACCACGAGATGATAGAAACCGATGGTAAGAGACCCTGAATGACATAGCTCAAAATCGTTTGCATTGGCGCAGGTGCATACACTCTTTGTGTTCTCCCAAATTTTGATCTCCTGATTCCTCCTTGTCTCTTTTTTTCCTCTTCCCAAATTTATTTCACAGGATTATACCCTTTAAATAACATCTCCAAACACTAACCTTCCCGATTACTGCTTATACTCTTATTACCTCTACCACTACGGGATTTGAATCGACTACTGCATCTGTGTGCTAATGTGGTGTGGCAACTCGAACTGATGTACGTACGTACGAAGTTCTACGTTGTTACTGACTGACTGACTGACTGTGATTGTCGTATCACCCAGTTTTTCACCTGAGATGTTACCATTAGAGCGACAACTAAACCCCTATCTGCATCATTATACTGATTACACTAATTTTTTGAAAATTATGGATCTATGAAAATTGATCATTATTAGGCTTCTAGTTAGACAACCACTGAACAATACTGACTACTGGACAGCTATTTACTCCAGTTACGAAACTCCAATGATATACATTTATGATAACAATTAAAGAGTGAACGTAATTCATTCTCTTTAAGCAAAGATGAATAGTGGCTAGCAATGGAATCTAGGATAAGCGTTTCGTCCAATTTCAGACTTGTTGGCTGGGTATTTCAGAGTTGATATTCACTGTAGGACTCGAACCCAGTACTATTCGCTTCAAAATACCAACAACATACTGATCAGTTGCAGTCCTAAACCAATAACAATACAGAAGATACAAGTAAACAACACCAAATGAATATAAATTATTCTCATTTCAAACCTTTACCAACTTATTGAAATACAAACACAAACCCTGAAAAGGTGATTCTAATGAGGAAACAGACAACTTGACTTATTATTAATAGTAAATTCCACATAAACAAACATAAAAATTGAAGTTCATACATATCATTACTTATCTATAGAATAATGAATTATCTCTAAACGTTTATTATGCTCTAATTATTTCACCTTTACTACTAGTTTAGTTGAATGAAGAGATGTGACCTGAGTACACTTGAAAATGCAATAGTCTAATTTACAAAAAAGAAAAAAAAGAATCACTCTATAAATGTGTTATAACAGTCGAAGTTTCCTTCATCTTTACACAAATGAGACAAATATCTACACTAAATTCCGTCTTAGTGTTTGCCCCCCCCTCCAATACCCTGGTATGGCCGAGAGTAGGGAGAGTCCGCTGTCCCTCTCCAAATGCTCTCACATGACCATACGTACATAGCTTCTGCCAGGGAAGTCCTACTCACTGCCTTCTCGTGGCGGGCGTGTTGTTTACGAAAATGAGTGGACGAAAAGCGAATGCCCGGTGCTTTATACGGGTTGGTGGATACGGAGGTTCCAACTAGAGGAGTTGGGAAACTATGATTTCAAACCAATGATGTACATGGGCTCCAGGATTTTAAAGGAACAAATGGCGTATGAACCAATTATCAGTCGCCGGCTACCATGGGACTGCATCTCCTAAGGTTGCTCCACTGCCTTGTGGACCAGACCTTCATATCGAAGGCTCCGGGTGTAGCCCCCTAAGAAAACTACCTACTTCAGTTTGGGCACCCGGGCAGTATCACAACCCTCACACATATCAAATGAGATTTGTGTGGCGCATATGTATTTGGTGCCTTCTTGTACCAATATCTATGTGTTAAAATAAATAAAATAAATAAATAAATAAATGTCTATTATTCTACAGGAATTCAACACAACTCAGATCATGAATACGTGATTAACTTGACTAGAATGTATTCCTAATGGAAAAACCCTCACAACCCTTACGTAATCACAATAAATTTCACGTGACTCAACTAGAGAGAAAACGGTGAGAATATAATTTATAGACGAAACAAATAAGAATTAGAATAATAGGTCTTGGATTTCGGCACGAAATTCACTCATCCATTTGGCTAAACAGAGTCTCGGCATTATAGCTGATGTCAGTTTGAGATGAAAACCCAAAACCTAATTCCTAACCTAAACCATTAACTATAAATCAATAATTGTAATCCTTCACACTGGTTAATAACCCTCATTTAGTTCTAGTGTAGTGAACAGTACACCAGTGGGGATAATCGAATGCAATGAATAGGAAATTACAGAACTTGTTAATAAAATCTAACAACCATATAGTAAATGCTCAATTTTCAAAATGACCATCAATTGTCTCAAAATGTCTCAGACTTCATTGTTCTTGAATCTTCATACAAATTGAATTCTGTTTCCATTCTTTATTGTTCGATTCTCTTGCCTCTCTGCTGTCAGACATTCTGTTGCTGACTAACGTCATATTTTACTTATGTCGACATAAGTAGCACACATCACACTAGTAATTAGGTGGACACTCTCAAGGTCACTTTAGTGTCACTCAGAGGTCTCATCAGGACTGAAATGTTTGATTTCAGTAATCAATGCTTAGCATAAATTATGCAGTATTGAAACGAAATTCAAATTTTTTATGCAATAAACTTGTAAATATTCAAGAAATACGTAGCGAAAATGTTGAGGAGATCCTGGAAATTCCTCGAAAAACACTAAAAAAAGGATCTGAAAATTTTGAGAAACATCTTATCCAATCAGCATTCAATAGAAGTTTTGCCAGAAATATCTAGAGAGTCAAAGGTCACACATCGAGTTTCTGATTGGATGATTACCTATACTGCTACTATGTTTAGTAGCGTTTCAGAATTCTATAGAGGTCCATAACCATCTAAAATGATAATAAATACCCTAGATTTTCTGTACCTAAACGAACCTTGGAATAAAGTGTTTCTTTTATATTTCTCATCTTTTCTCTCGTGTTCAAGTTGTTGTGTAGATTTAGCCTGGTCGTTAATTTAAGAGCTTAGGAATAGAATCTAGCGTTCAATTAGAAGACTTATCAGAAAAATTTTATAGACAATGACAAAACGATCATCATTAATGTTCTTTAAATGTTAATTGTCAGCTTTGGTTCAATAAGATCTCTATTTCTATCGATGTATATATCTAATGTATAAATCCTAATACAACTGTCTTATATTTCTCCAAAGAACTACCGTTTTGGTACGT